ATAAAAATAGAGCCCAATAAAAATGAGGGGAATTTTCGTGCTATATTAAGGGCTAGAATAGAATCAGGTAATGAAAATTTAAGAAAACATTTTGAAACTTGTGGTAAAAATGCTACTTTCATAAGTTGGAATATACAAAATCAAATTATTGAAGCGTGTGATGAAATAATTATTCAAAAATTAATTACTAAAATTAATAAAGCTAAATTTTTTCTGTCTTGGCTGATGAAACTACTTCTGTACCAGCAGAAAATGAAGAAGAATATTATAGACACACCATTTTTATTCCATGACTAGATTCTTTTATAAAGAATATATCCGATCGATTTTTAAAGCATAAATGTATTATTAAAAGTTTTAAGTGTCTTTTACCTACTGGAAATTCTCTTAATCAAACAGAAAAATCACAGTATTATAACTTTTAAAATTTTATAAAAATGATATACCAGAAAGTGGTGTTAACGCTGCAGTAGCCGAATATGATTTATGGTATCAAAAATTCCAATGCCCAAATCATTCATTACCATATAATGCAATCGATGCATTAAATTTGTGTAATGATACTCTATTTGAAACTATATTTACACTTTTAAAAATATTCTCAACATTGCCTGTTTTGACTAGTACAACAGAAAGATCATTTTCCACTTTGAGAAGAATAAAAACATACTTGAGAAATACAATGAGTCAGAATCGATTGAATGCTATGCTTCATATAAAATATAATTATAATTATAATATAATTATAATTCAAAATATAATTCACAGAGAAATCGATGTTCAAACTTCAGAAGTACTCTCAGTATTGGGGAAAAAAATACCAAGGCGTCTCAACTTTATAATTTAAAAGGTTAGATTTATAAAAAACAATCATTATACTATTCATAATTTAATAAATAATATTTATGTTTTACAGGTATAACATCACCGCTACATCGAGACTTAAAAACGGAACAAAAAAACAAAATTAGTTATTAAAAAATTGTAAACAAGCTTTAAGATTTCTGTACATGTTTCAAAATAAATACTACCTATTAATATTAAAATTATTTGAATTTAGCTCCCCCTAAAAAAAATCCTGGATGCGCCCTTGCATCCGGTGACATCCAAGTATATTTATATATATATTTGCGTGGGAACATTGTGCTCTTGATTATTAAACCTTTTCCTAATGCAAAATTTGCTAGTCTTGAGCCATTATCATTCGAGTGTTCATGAAGTCTGTGCACTCCTGACCATAGGTGTGCGCACGGGGTATGCAGGGTATGCCGCTGCATAGTCTGCGGCTTCATGTGAGGGGCCCATATTTATTATTAAGTTAAGAAACTTTTAATTTAATTACCACCACAGGAAATTTAAATTAATTAAAGCTTGATAGTAATGATATTTCAATGTTGAAGGAAAAATTTAATTTGAATACTACATTTGAATCTGAAATTAAGCTCATTACAAATATGTCTGATAGAACTTCTATTAGAGGGTCATCAACTAAAACATTGTAGTATGGCTGAATTGGTTATCAGAAAACGACCGGAAAATAATATTTTCAAACTTCAATAAAGCTTTAACACAATTTGCAACAATACCTGTGACAAGCTGCTCGTGTGAGAGGGACTTTTCCAAATTGTTTATTGTAAAGTCTAAACTTAGAAACACTATGTTACAAGAACGTCTTGATTCACTGATGTTAATATTTATCGAGCAAAATATGGCATCAGAAATCAATATTGAAGATGTAATAGATGAATTCAAAGCATGTGTGCCGATAAAAAGAAGACTTGAACTTTAGATTTTACGTACTCTCCATAAAATAACAACATTATAATATGTTAAAATTATTCAAAAGCATTCAATATAGTACATACTTGATCTTAAATAAATAATAAATTTTTTTTTAATAAATATAAATCAAATTTCAAACTACTTATTTCTACAGTGCATTATTTAATATTCTACTGTAAAACTATGTGTGATTTTAGATTCTAAGGGAAGTAAAGAAGCTAAGTAGTATATATGCAAAAACTTAGATTGTAACTTGAATCTCACATGCGTTAAAAGAAAATGCAAATAAATTAAGGGAAGATTAGAAAATTTATTTGTGAGGGGCCCTATATTTCTTATTGCATAACCTGCGAATAAAGTCTGCGCACGCCTATGCTCCTGACACGCTATGGTATATCCTTTCCTTTCCTATTTTAGCATTTAGATCGTCCAATACAATTTTTATATTTCCATGATTGACTCGTGTACAGCGAAACCGGTCCCTAGTTTGTGACCCCGTTCACTCCTTCCATTAATGATTGTTGTTTGTGATATCTTTGTTGTTCCCGCGTCTTCCAGTCTTATTTCTTGTAGTGCCACGCACTTCATTGTACATCTCTCTATCTCTCCTACTAATTCCAAAGTTGCTCCAGGTTTGAATAGTGTTCGTATATTCTAAGTACCACATTTTAATTACGATATCCAATTTCCAGTTTTTTTCCCAATCTAGTCCGAGGTCAGTGGCGTATCCAATGGGGGGGGGGGGGGGGGGCTAAGGGGGCTATAGCCCCCCCATGGGCCGTGTTTATATGTATAATGTATCTTGACTATTTAATAGAATCAATGGATGCTCGTTTTAATCAAAAGCTTATTGATGTTATGCCACTTGAAGGACTTATTCCGGTCAATTTAAATATGTATGACGATAAAAATATTATAAAAGCTGCTAAAATACGAGTATATGTCCAAGATCTCCATGTTGATACCTCATCTACAATCAGAGCTGACCTGTTCATATGGAGGCAACAATGGAGTCAAAATACTATTCCAAAACCGAATTCTGCTCTTGATTCACTCTCTCATCGCATCAATTTTCGACTTAACATTAAAATACTTTTACAATTATTCACCACGTTACCAGTACCTCTTTCACTCCGGAAAGAACGTTTTCAGTATTTAATTGCTTAAAAAATTTTTTAAGAAGCACCATGCCGGAAAACAGACTGAATGGGTTAGCTATGGCTAATATAAATAAAAAAGAGCAATTCAATGAAAGTGAAATAATAATTGAATTTGCCAGAAATTCGCCTAAGAGGATGCAGCTGTCAGAGTGGAGCAAATGACTGAACACTGAAACCAAAATTATTATTATTACTATTATTATAAATTATATATTAATAAATATTTTTAAAACTATACTAAAATGTTTGAATTACGTTTAGTAACTTGGTGGTAGATGGTGGGGGGGGGTTAAGGGTGAATTCTCATATCCTCTCTTACCTTACTTATCCAATTAAGTGGTTAGTCCCCCCCCCCATTTAAAAATCCTGGCTACGCCATTGTCCGAGGTTTGTTGTTCGATTCCTGAACAAAAATTTTTTACAAGGTCGGGTTGTTAGCCCGACGCTCAACCCCCAACCTGGAGGACCAGACCTCTCCGATCACTTATCAGGGTTGGGCTATTGCAGCACCCAATGAAGGGCACTGGGCGATAGGGACGCCACTTTCCCAACGCCGGTGAAATAATATGTTCCCAAGCAAAAATTATCAAAGTAGTAGTAAAGTATCTAAATATGATCATAATATTATGACTTTTGTGTGTGTGTGTGTGTGAAGCGTGTTAATAATACGTTTATAGTGTTTATATAAACTATTAATATAATTTCCATGTCAAAATTCTATAATATAAAAATGTTAAAGAAAAAACCATGTTTCATGTAAAAGTTAATTTACCATCTCAGGTTCATGGGGGGGGGGTTCTGACCCCCAACCACCCCATGGATACGCCACTGCAATATAGTATATACAATATATCTACGTCATGTTCTCTTTTGTATGAAAAAAATGTGTATATTATCCTAATATTTGGGCCCCCAGGACGTCGGTCAATTGATCGGCAGCCACGGCGTCACGCCAGTCGACCGTAACCCCGTCGGAGACGCGTTTCCGCGTAGGTGCTGCGCGGTGAGAGCGCGATTGAACTTTCCCACAGACCAGCCCCGGTTGCGCGGTATCAGCACCCGATGCGGAAGCTAACGTACCGATGGTCGCTCCTAGATTAACCTCGATCGACAATCGAAGTGCTAGCGCTCTTTTGCTAAAATTTTTACCTACCCGTCGGGTATTTACCCACGGTACATCAGTAGGTAGTAAGTACCTACTCGCGGTTATCGTAATTGTAATCGCTGGTTGTCCGTGTTCTAAAAATATCAGGTGCAGAAAGTCCGATATCGACAAAACCGCAGGATGTCAATTGTCCGAATACCGATTATATCATATCACAGTTTAAATTAGTTACGGTTAACTTAGTATCACAGAATAAATGAAATTTTATTTATTGTGTTAGTATAAAGACAAATTATTTTTAAAAATCTGTATGATTAGCAGCAGCATAGGGTTTAAGTTGTATATTTAACAAATAATCTATAAAAGATTTATTTTAACTTTGTCCGAAAAGGATTTTAATCTTTAAATATGCTAGTTAGATATAACCTTAAAATATTTATATTCATAATTTATATTTTAGTATTTTTTTAACTATATTTTAATTTGTAAGATACATGTTATTTTAACTTGAAAATTGTATAAAGTAATAAAAGACAATACTCTTAGAACATGTTTCTCTAAATTAAACTAAAAAAAAAGTCTTATTCAAAGATTTTGTACTAGTGTACAATCATATTAGTCTTGTATTTGTATGAATTTGTATCAAATACATATAATATGCAATAAGAACATATATATAATATTTTTAACTCAAAACTTAATAGTAAAATAATCATTATTTAACAACAAAAATACAAAAAATATTTAGTTATCCATTAATAATATAATTTGTATTGAATGACAATTAATAAAATAAATGTATATACAATAGTAATACAATAAAAACAATGTAAATCGTCTATTATTAGGTTTCAACTTTTTTTTAAATACACATAGACCCCAAATGTTACACAAAAGTAATTTTAAAACTAACAATATAGCATTAACTGTAAATAATTATTAAATATGTACTCAATAATCTTTGATATACATTAATAAAAAAAAGCAATATTTCCACCAAAACAATTATTGCTCCTATACCCTTAAATCATAGTAAATAATAAATATACAAAGATAGAATTAAACAAATATAAGATAAATGACATATATTAATTATTTATTTTTGGCATTTTTTTATTCTAATCCATTCATCAATTTGATTTTTTAATTCAGTATTTGTTATAACCATATCCATAGTGAGATGAGAACGATTAAACGGGTCTGTTTGGTCACTTAATAAATGTCTGAAATTATACCATATTCTTTTATTTAATAAAAATATTTTAATAACATAATATTAGGTAAGTTTATTAGGTAAGTTCACCTTGCTATAGTAGATCTATCAACATTAATTTTACTAGATGGCAAAATGACAGGATCTGTCATAAGAGTAGACATTATAGGATCTAAATAATTTTCAGGTGCTTCAGTCAGTAGTAATTCTTCATCATTACTTTGTTGTATCGCAAGTTTTGATACTTTTTGTGATAAATTAGTTATTCCGACAATCAGAGACGCTCCTCCAATTCTTGCTAATAAACGACAAACAAATAAAATAATATTCTAATATTTAAATATTAACTTAATAAATAATTTTTTTTTTATATCGAATGAAAATATTTACAATCTGTATTAAATGTATACAATAGGTAATATGGTGGTTAGATTACGAGACTGAACCGCTTGATTGAAGGGGGTGTCCAAAGACACTACTTCATAATTCTGATTAAACAAAATAATAAAAACGAAAAAATTTTCTGAATAAATAATCATCATTATCAGTGAATTATTTTAAATTATCTTTACAGAATAAATTATATAGATATGTTCCTTTAGTATAAAAATAATAATAATAATAATAATATCAAAGGTTTTAACTACTTTTATTTTTATATTCTAAAGATAACAACGTGGAATGTTTCAATGTATATTTATTTTCAAGAATTTTTTTAGAAGATTAAATATCATCTAAAGATAAAATTTTTAAGTCCATACACTTGAATACTATACTATTTTAAAATAATTAAACTAAAATGTATTTTAACAATACCTAAAACATCTTCCGCTTGTTTAAAAAGTTGTGGGTTATAAGAGCGTCCATCTTTAGAAACAGCTAAACAAAATGCTTCACCATTTTCACTTTCTCCCAGATGTACATATATCATACAAATATTTAAAACTATTTCAGCTGGTTCAAATTTGTACTCTTTCATATCTTTAACCTAAAAAAATGTAAATTTTAAAAAATAACTTAATCATTTTTTAATTATTTAATATTTTCATTTATGATAATGAATAAGTTAAATTCTCCTTGTATGTTTATTGTTTATGTTTATATATTTTTTGTATATTTCCTTGTAAGACTTTTCTTCATTGAACTCACTTTCATAAGTCTTGTATTATTTTAAAATCACTTTGTTAGTTTACTACATTTTAATCAAACACTACCTACCACCATAGGCGCCGACTACACGGGGGCAACGGGGGCAATTGCCCCTGTACTTTAATTTTAACGTGGGCGTTGCCCCCGTTCTTCGATTTTAATGGGTGGTAAAACGTAGAAATAGCACTTCGCTTTTGTGAAAAAAATTATTTGGTTATTACTTATTATTATAAGCTATTGAATTTCGATATCGATATGAAAATGTTTATCAAAAGGACAAAATTATCTAAAAATAGCTGAACATAACTCATAAGATACCATAAATTATAGATAACGTATAAGTACATTTATATATATATATATATATATATATGAATAATGTATATAGCTCCAATTAGAAATGCCTAATAGTCACGGTAATGACGAAAGACTTGTGTGATAACTATATATATACTTTATACACACGCACAAACTGAAACTTAATAACAATATCTTTAGTTGGAATTATTTATAACCTGTACTATGGTATTTTCATTTCTTCTAAATTATATTGACTATTCTACATTTATACAGTACTGATAACTGAATACTGAGTATTACATTATGTAGTTCAGTAGTTGATCATTTTACTGTCGCTGTCCATACGAAGCATACGTGCTTTATTCGCAGATTGACAACACTAAGGTAATTTATATTTTCTTTATAGACCATATTATTTAATATATGAGTTAAAAATTAATTAACTTTTGAAGGGCATACCAAATAAGTAATTCAGACACAAAATAATTCATTATGTCTATGTGGAAGTATGTACAAAAAAAAACTATTCCGAAAAACAATTCTGATTCTAATAGCCTTATTAATTCTGATAATAGTTTATCTTCATCTACTTCCACTTCTAACATAAATTTAAATTGTGATAATCAAATTGATTGTGGAAATAATTCGTCCTCTAAAGATGTTTCAAAACAAAGAAAATTTTTAGCATCTTGGTTAAATAAATACGACTGGTTAGAACATAATAAAATCGATGATAAAGCTTTTTGCAAATTGTGTAGATCCATGAGTAATAATAGTAATAATAATGTTTCTGTATTTATTTCCGAGGGTTTTAGTAACTGAAAAAAAAAGCTGTTGAAAGGTTTAATATGCACGAAAATTCAGAATTGCACAAAACTAATGTAGTTAAAAACTCTTTTATTAAAACAAATGCAAATATATATGCACAAATATCGGATAGTCATAAAAAGCCTATGGAAGAATCTAGATTAGCTCTTGATAAAATAATATCTTCAGTATTTTTTTTGGCAAAACAAGGCTTAGCATTAAGAGGGCATACAGACGAATCTGCAAATTTAAATCAGTTATTAAAACTTCGATCGGAAGATTCGACTGAATTAAATAACTGGTTAGGTAGAACAAAATATAAGTGGATTTCTCACGATATAATTAATGAAATTCTTAGCATGCTGTCATTAGAAGTCATTAGAAATATTATCAAACAAATTAAAGAAAACACATATTATGCCATTTTATTAGACGAAACTAGTGATATTACTGTCAAAGAACAAATTTCGTTTTGTTTAAGAACAGTGGACAAAGAATCGTTGGAAATCGAAGAATATTTTATGGGTTTTTACGAAACGCCTAAAACAGATTCTGATACTCTTTTCAAAATTGTGAAAGATATTTTGTGTAGATTGGAATTAGATTTTTATAATATTAGAGGACAATGTTTTGATGGTGCTAGCAATGTTTCTGGAATTCATAAAGGATTACAAGCTAGAATAAAAGAAATTGAACCAAGAGCATAGTTTGTTCACTGTCAAGCTCATTCTTTAAATCTTGTTACCCAAGATAGTATGCGAAATGTAAAAAATGCTAGAGATGTACTAAATTTTATAAGAGAATTAATTACATTTATTAAACAATCACCTAAGAGACTATCTTGGTTTAAAACGAATCAAAAAGACGAAAATATGACATCTCTAAGACCATTTTGTCCTACTAGATGGACGTTACGATATACTTCTCTGTGCTCTGTTATGGATAACTACAATGAGCTATTGACATTTTTGTCAGATTTTTCAAAAACACAATGATGCAGGTTCAAAGGCAAATGGATTTTTCAAACAATTAAAAACTGCAGATACTTATATAATGCTTAAAATAGTGATAAGTATTTTTAAACACATAGAGACTACAAATACAGTATTGCAAAGTAAATCATTAGATTTTAAACTTTCTGTTCAAATTCAATACTTTAGAAGATACTATTTCAAATTTGAGAGATACATTTCACATTTTATGGAAATCTGCAAAGAAAGAATCGTCAGATTTAAAATTAGATGCACCAAAGGAATCTAGAAAACGAAAAAAACCTCAAAAATATGAAGACGGAGTAACAAAGTCCTTTGAATTTTCACCTGAAAGTAAATATAATCAAATATATAAAGAAATCATTGATCATATACTTTCTGGCTTACAACTAAGATTTAACTCTGAAATTCGATCATTTTTATGTAATGTGGAAATGTTTTTAATTGATCCAAAAATATCACCCGAAATAATATGTACATTTTACAAGGATGATATAAATATTGATAAGCTAAAACTTCATAGAGATATGTTTCATGATATAATTAAAGGCCAAGGATTAATTGTTTCATCATTCGCAGATATATTAAATATTTTTAAAAATAAATCGTATTTAGTCATTCATTTAAAAGAGCTCAGGAAATGCATACAATTGATATTAACAGTACCAGTTACTACATGTACTACCGAACGATATTTTTCTATGTTGAGGAGGTTAAAAACTTATACCAGAAGTACCATGACGCAGACCAGGTTAAATGATCTGGCACTTCTAAATTGCCATAACACAGTAGCAGAATCTTTAGACCTAAGCAAAATAGGAAATATGTTCATAAATAAGTGCATGACAAGAAGAAATACTTTTAAATTGAAAAAAATATAATTTTAGATTGTAAAATTGTCATCATAAAATGTAATGTATTGTAATTAAGTTAGAAAATAAATTGTATTTTCATAATTTCATGTAATTTTTATTTTTATTTTCATTTATCTGAACCCAATAAAGAGAATTGGAATAATATTCATGAACAATAGTATAAATATTTTATTTGCCCCCGTGCTAAAATATAAAAGTCGGCGCCTATGCCTACCACATGAAGGCAAACCCATGCATTTGGTTTATACTTAAATTGTGTTGTGTAATACAAACTACTTTTAAATTGTTTATAAAAAGCACAAAAAATATTAATTAAGTAATAAAATATATTCTAAAATTGTAAATTATTAGTGATTTCATTTAAATATTTCTCTATATCAAATTTGTTATACAAAGACATAATTTCTTAATCACCTAGGTACATCTTGGTATTTTTTTTTTTATAGTGGTTTTATCCAGAAATTCACAGATACATTTTCTAACCTAACTTTGGTTAGGTTAGAAAATTAGTTAGTTTTGTTCTTTTTTTTTTGTAAAATAGGATGTAGCTAACAAAGATGAAATTCTCTATGTCAACACAATAATATTATACCCATTGAAGAAATTTTAATGAAGTCATGTGATTCAAAAATAACACACAACATATAATAAAAAAAAAATTGAATGCAAAAATGATGTATGGAGGGAAAGTAACTAAAGTAACTCTTAAATACAGTTTTATTGGTAATACTTACTTTAAAATTTTTTTTCTTTGGCCCAACTAAATGACACAAAAAATAATTTAACATAGCTGCTACTCTATCAACCATTGTGGGATGACAAAATATGGATTTGATTTCTGATGTAAGGTATTTAAATGTATTTATAGTCTCCTTTCCAAGAATATTGTCAAATCTGTAATAATATTATTTTCATAAGAAAAAAAAATGAAAAAAAAAAATGAAATTTTAATAATAGTAAACCATGATGAAAATATTTTTTATACCTAGCAGTCATTCCAATATTCTGCAGGTGAGACATATTTTGTGCTCTTTCTCTTTGAGATAGATTAGCCCATTGGCCGGATTCACTAAAATTGAATTAAAAGCATAATTAAATTATGTTCCTTCTAAAATTTAATATTTATTTATTTACTTATTTAAAATTCTAACGGATCGTAAGATTCAGGTACAATATGCAGTGGCGTATTTACGGGGGGGGAGGTCCAGAGGTACTGGACCCCCCACCAGAACCTCTCCAAAAAATAAAAAATTAACAACAATTCTTACATATTTGCAGAATTGGCTATGTTAAACATTCACAGGGAAGTTGAAATTACTGTTGATAAAGTGATAGAGGAATTGGTCAAAAAATCGAGACAACTGAAATTTATTTTATAACAATACTTTATAATATATAATGCTAAATACAATATATAGGTACATATAAATATTATTAAATAAGACTTTACGATTATTACATTATATATTTAGTTCAACTTCCTCCAAAAACTGCATAAGGACGTGACTATTACAATATAATATATAGTTTATATTAATTATTTATAAACTGTGGACCCCCCCAGAAAAAATTGAAAATACGCCACTGACAATATGTATGTATATATAATAGTACAATATTGAAAATAATATTAATAATACAAATAATAATAACAATAATAATAATAATAATAAAATCCATTAAAAACATAAAGATCTATTTACATAATTATTAAAAGATTCAAAGGAAGTAAAATTAAATAAATCAATGTTGGTATTGTTCACTAATGACATAATTCTGTTTATAGGTGAAAATAATAAATAATTTGTTCTTTGAGAACCTATATAAAAAATACTAGTAGACCTAGTTCTACGCTGAGGAACGTTAAAATTGAGGAAACTTAATAGTTCTAGACAATCAGTGTAATCATTTACAAGTTGAAATAAAATTAGAAATATTGTAATGATTTTAAAAGTTTAGTTAATTATTTTTAAATTTCTCTACTCCAATAATGTTATGAAATGCAGAAAAAACAATAATTTATTAAGAATATAAAGGTTACGATGATATCCAACAAAATAAATTGCAATCAGAACCTATAATATAAAGCTAAAAAAATATATACATTTATTTGAACTAACTAAAAAAAAATAAAAAGATATCATTCATTAAGTCCAAAAAATAATACTTCTTTTATAAAATTCATTTGGAAAAAAATTACTCAAACTAAAAAAAAAAAGTAATCATTAATATTTATGAAAAATAATGGTTTTGCAATACTATGAACTTTAAATGTTTTTGATAGAAAAGAATCAAATATTTTATATTTTTAACACTATGAATTAAAAGGATTAAGATAAGTTTAGTATAAAATGACATTATAATCAAAAATAATAATAATATTAATAAATATGAACTTAATAAAATTTAACATTTTGCACATCAAGTTTTTGGTAGTTTTTTACAGTTAGAAAAATATTGTTTAATAATTTGATACCAGGATGAGGTTAAAATAAAAAAATAAAATCATTAAATATTTTGAAGATAATGAAAAAACAATGTATATTTATCATTTTTATTAAATTTAAAATGGAGATAGATTTTAATATCAAAATAAAAATGCTTGAGGTAATATATCAACAATAATGTAGATACTTATAGGTTGAGTATACATGCATATTTATATATTAACTTACTGAGCAGTTTGCATTTGTCTTAGTCGAGCCATATTAGTTAATGCTTCGTCCAATAGGAATACTGCATCATTCATAAGCAAGTTGATAAATCTTAAAAATAAAGGGGGTGATGCAGCTTCCATATTATTTTCTGCATCTTTAGCCAATGATCTTAAAAAAAAATAATACCATAGAATATAATTATAAATATTTATGTAAAATAGAATATGAATTAAACTATTTGATTTAATACAGTTATTCTACTAAATTTGATTTAAAAAAATAATGATACATTACTTAAAAACTTCTCTGTGTTCTTCTAATTTCCACAAATAATCCATTACAACATACATAGGACGGCGATAATTGAATTTTTGTTCAAATTCAACACTTTGTCCAGTCATTTCAATGCCAACAAATACATCCAAAAGAGCGTAAACAATCTTGCAAAATACATTTATATTATTAATAATTTTTAAATAAACAAAACTATTTGAAATAATTCCTAAAATTGATTAACTAATATTGTATTAATTAAATGGTAAAACGTAGATATTAATGACCAATGGTTTTAAAATATAAAACATATTATAATTAAGACAATTAGTGCAGTAATTGATAAGCCTAGAGTTAATTTCTAATTAAACAATAATCAAATAATTTAATTTAAATTTTCCATAAAAAAGAATTACTTTATTTTCTATTATTTACTTACTTGTTTACGGTGTGGATGTTTTAAAAACAGCATTTCTCTATAATATGATCCAATTGAATTTGTTACAGAGCTATCTTCATCTGTATGAGGTAATAAGCAATCTAAACATTCAGCTAGACGGGCTCGCAAATGAGGATTTCTCACACGACTGTTAGAAGTCATAAAGATTAAAACAGTATTTAACAGTTCGCTAACTAATGTAAAACCAGGTTCTTCTAAAGATCGTGAATGAAAACGACGTACTAGTGTTAAATACCGCCAAATATTTTCCAAAATAAATTCTGGAATACATCTAAAATATGTTAAAAAATATTTTTTTATTTTTAAAATAAAAATTAGAATTTAAAATATGGTAACCTTACTTTAATGTAAGAGGAACAATATTAGGTAAAGGAAATTCAATAACATTAAATTTATTTGGACAATAAGACTGAAGGTCACTTGATTGAAAATCTTTGTTTACATCTAACACGACTTGAGTAAGCCATACACATGTTGCCTTTTGAAATTGACTCAGGAGGTATAAAGTCGATGGTTCTAGAAGAGCTGCTTTCATAGATAAATATCTATAAAAAAAATTACAAAATATTTATCTAAGACTTTTGTTAGTTTCATATAAAATATAACAAAGACTAAACTAGTTAAATCTAAAAATATAAATGTTTGGTTTATTACCAATTATTTTACAGATATTTTAGATTTAATTTGTAGTTTGTGGCACTTTATTATCAATAATTGATATAATTTTCCTGTTATTAATTAATTCATAAATACCAAGAAAAATTATTTTTAACTGTAGTTCACAATTATACAAATATAATGCACATGTATACAAAATCTATGCCACATCCGAGAATAAATAATAACTAAATAGGAAAGATAGTTGTAATTTGATTTGTTTAAATCAGAAAATTTTGGCACTTTAAAAAAAAATGATTATCAAATTTAGACAATGACACCAAGTTTGCCATACAAATTAAAATCATTTTGTGTCCAAAATTTATCAAACATTTATTCGATCACATTTATTAGTGGTTCAAATTAATTTACTCAGCTAAAAAAACAAATATTACGTTAACAAAGTATATAAAATTTGGTTAGGGGTTCTAGCAAAATATTTAATGATAATATTAATATGTTTAAAAATACATAGCTATAAAATTCTACATTTTTAATTTTATAAAATTAAAAGTATTATAGAGAGTACAAAGTACATTTTTCATTCTTATTTCTAGATAACTAAGAAAAAATATTTAACTCTAATATTTAGTAAAATTAAATATATGTATAGAATATAAGTGACTAATTTGATATATTCTAAAATGACATTAACTTACTTTGTCATTTCACCTTCCATTCGATCATTTATATGTTTCATTACTTCAGATGTTGCCGAACCAGATTGCTGAGCTTCTACAAAAGTCTGTTGCATTATCGCCAACTCTTGATTAATACTAGTCATTTTTTCTTGAACTTGAGCAAAACCTATTTCTAATGATTTTTGAGTCATGTAAAAACATTCTGTAATAAAATTAAACTGTCCTTTAGCTACAGGCCTTTTATCTAAAGATTTATTATTTTCTCTGGAATCATCATCGACTGGTAGCAGCATGGTACTATCATTTAATTTTAATAAATGTACTCCTCGTTCTCTACTATCTTCATCATTATGAATCTAAAAAACACATAAATATTAAGATAATAATTTATTAAATAATTTATCTATACTATTTTCTAACTTGGACTGCACAATATGTAGGATCAATTTTTAGTAGTTTTGGATTATCTGTATTAGAAATAAATGGTTGACATAGTCTTAATAGAACGGCACTTAAATTGATAGCAAATCCATCTGAAATAAATCCTAACATTGACATTTCATTGTTCCACAATTTACAGCGTCCTGCATTTTTTTCTAAACAACTTCCCAACCATGATAATGTCTTATGTTTTACTTCAGGGCCAGCTTTTAAGAGATGTAGAAATATTTTATGTAATTGCACATGTAAATTTTCCATACCATTCCATATGTTACTTTCCAATTGACCTGATAACTGTTAAAAAAATTATTATTAATTATTAATTATTCGATTTAAAAGTCTGTTAGCTAAACAATTTTGATAATATTATAGGACTAAGATAAAACATATTATGAATATCATAAAATAAAAAAATACCAACTTCTTCCATAGGTTTTTGAAAATATTCAAAAATACCTCCTGGAATTTTTGGTAATCCTGATATTGCAAAAATGGCTCCAAGCACTGTATTTGTATAATTAAAACCACTAGATGTAGGTGGTACATAACAATCATTAATTAGCATCTGTAAGCCAAAATAAAAATATAGAAGATATTGTACAATTACAAATTTTAACGTAATTACTAAGATACAGAATATATTTAATCATTGCATTGGCAGATTATATTAAACAGTAAAATAATAATTAATAAGTAAAAGTAATAATTAATATAAGAAGGATAATTGATAATATGAAATGGTTATAGTGTATGATATTTTAAAATAGTATAATATATTCAAAATTAAAGAAAATATATTTTGTTATTATTAGTTGGAAACCTTAGCCTTTCTAGAATAAGAAGCATATTTTCAGGCATGGGTGAACATTCGAGTTTTTCATACATAATATATTTTTAAATGAATGATTAATAATCAGTATTTTTAATTATTTGCAAATAAATAATAAAAAAAAATAATTTAACACCTCATTCAATAAAATTTGAGCAATTATACGAGTAACTATTGTTAAAGTCAGTTTTTCAACTTTAATTTTAAATTCAGATCTAACTTAAAATTAAGTCAAGTATTAAGTATAAATAATAATAATTAATAATTAATAATAATTATAAATAATTTATAATTCAGTTATAATTAAAACTATACATAATTTTAGGGCTTATAAATAATTATTCTGAAAAAGTAATTTTAAATTATTAAAATAATTTTTTTTTTTTTTGAAACTCACTTTAGCTAATAATGGTTCTGCAGAAAATACTTGCAATATTGCAATTTCACAATGTGGTAAAAATATAATTGTTGCTTTTAATATATTGTCATAAACCTTTTGTAGAATAGGTTTGTATATTGTTTTTATTTGCAATTCTCCATTATCTTCATCCAAAATAATTTGTTTATTAACAGCAGTAAAAAAAATTAGGTAATCTTCAAAAGATGCCATATTAGTTTCAAAAATTCCTATAATCTTAAAAAAAATATATATATATATATTTAATAAAATTAAATAATGAGCATACCTATAACTTAAATTTATATAAGTAATTATGTTGGAGCTGATTGGAAATTTTTACTTTAGTCAAAACTACTATAATTTACAATTATATATGAATTAGAAAAGTAAAAAATAAAAATTGACAATTGATAATTAATCAAGTAAAAAATGTATTAAAACTCCTATCAAGATTTATATTCTGATACAATAATATAGAAAATATAAAAATAATTAGTTAATAATTATTAATTATACAATCTTATTTAAGACAATATAATTTATAATATGAAATTTTAATTAAAATATACCTGCTCATGAATATTTTGTGTACTATGGAGCTCAGGTTGTTTAAGCGCAGTAGATACATTGGTACACAGAAAACCAAATATTTTAGAAAAAACATCTTCTTTAATTGATGGATATCTATTTTCTTGTTTAGCAATAGCCAATTCTATGAAACACTTAAATAAATACAAAATACATTGTTTTTCAGTAGTGTGTGATGTAACAGATACATTGTGTTTAGTCTTCAATAAATACACTTCTGGATCAGACAATAATGTTCTTTCAAAGATTGCTTGTTCAAGTATTTCTAATTCCGTCCCTTTAGTGACATTGGTCTTCAATATTTCAAGTATATCCGGTAAATAAATAATTGAGTTATCATACTCTTTATCCAATTCAGGTTTCAAAGAAAAGTGAAAGACATTTTCAATGAGCTTGTTGAAAGTTTCATCAATGCCATTATTTTTAAATTCCATTATAGAACTCGATCCAATAGAATTATCCGTAAATTCACATGAATTATCTAGATTACTCCTCTGAAATATAAAAAATTCATTTTCCGACATTTTTACACTATTAGAATTTAGAATACAAAATAACAACAAAATTAGCAACTAGATCGTTCCCAAATAATTTTACTTATCTTTATAATGATAATACAATGATAATTTATAATGATTATGTACTCTATGAATCACAATTGTGTAATATGGTTGCACATCACGAATGGATCTTCCCAGGAAAAAAACTCTGGATCCATGACGTCATTAGTTAGTATTATCAATACTGTTCTTATCAGATATGATGATTAAATGAGCAGCGATTTATTTTTGGCACTTGTTTGAATTTTTACAATTAGCTCAAAAGATGGAAGGATACCTCAAAAGGCTTGATTGAAGAAACTATTAGAGCCCTAGGCGGGATGAAAATAATTGAAATCGTTGACAAGTAATGAATTTTGAGAAACCAGTAAGAAGATAAAATCTTACCAGATTTACGGGAATGTTTGGAACTACTGGAAATATAGAAGGACCATACCTTTAAAGAGTGAGATATGTCGGACAAAAATATCTCGACGCCGATGACATCAATTTTATGATTAATGAAAATATTTCTTCAATATTTCAATTCGATTCACTATTGAGAATCACCCATCTCTACTCATGTCCTTTGATTCGAGCACAAAAAACCGCCTTCCGATCGAGCGCCGTCGAGGCAAGGCAAGGCGACACCACAGAGTAACATAGACTGTTACTCTATGGGCGACACTCCACACTCACGTTGACTCATTGGGCATTAAATATTTCTTACTTTTTCCTTTACCCAAATCCTTATACTTATAATGGTATCTAGTGGTCAAATGATGTACTTCATTCGAATATTATACTATATTAGCTTATCACTATAAAACCTTTATTTCAATGGAAAGTGTATCTACTAAAATCACTATCCGTAGTTTAATATCTTTCCAAAGATGTTAACGTGACGCCATGTTGTTTTATATCACATAAATACAACTAACAAATAAAAGTAAAAATTATCGGTTTTCTTAAACAAAATTTTCTTGAAAGATAATAGTTCTTAATAATTACATTTTTATAATAATGAAAAGGTGTAATATTTAAATTCTTTGTGTTATAGTTATTAATACTTTTTCATAATTCTAATTGTTCCAATTTTGTAATTATTTTTTTCTTGCCATCTGGAAAGGGTATGTTAATATTAAATGATAATATTTTCTGTAGTAAGTTAAAACAATTGTGATATTGAATAATAGATTTTTTATTTTATTGATCAAATATGTAAAGAGTATTAGAAAACGATATTTATTTCCTATTCGTTTAAAGACTTCTGTTTTACATTGAATTTTGTACTAATTATTTATATGGGTCTTGTAAATAAATAACTCTTAAACTACAATAAAATAGTTAGTAAATATGATTTATTCAATATTGTATATTAGAATAATAGTTGTACATTTTTATCCTTGTTTTAAAAACAAAAAAAGTAATTGTTTTGTTTTTCTAAATAGTATTCATGACTGAAATTTATGTAATTTAAAAAAAATATTAAAATTAAAGTCTTATAATATTTATGTATATCATTGTAGTTATTATAATATAATGTATATATATATATATATATTTAAATGATTTTAATTGTATTTTTTGTTTTATTAATAACTTGGTTATCGCAAGTAAATGTTAAAATTATTTATTAATTATTATATTAGTCCTATTTTAAACGGTGAGTTTTTTTATTTTTATTTTGTGATTTAACAAAATCCTCATTACAAAAGTTATTAACTTCTTATAGTCCCTTGATATTTCTTAAAATTAAATAGATATTTTAAAAATATATTACGACTATAATAAATCTGAATTTTTTTTTTCTGTATCAAAAATAATTATAATTACTTGTATGAATTGCTGGTCGTACCAATATATTCTGTATACTTGATTTAAATAATGTAATAAAAATGTAAATAAAAATAGTTTGAAATATTTTGTTTTTTTTAATAATTACCCATGTGAGTATTAGAATAGTGAAATACAAGGTATGAATAGTAAATTATATATTTTTATTGATTTCTTTCCATATATCATAATTACAATATTATCTTAATCATTAATGCATTATGTAACAAATTAAAATTATAAGTATATTATGTATACTTACTGTTATATCACTATTTACAGTTATATATTAATTTGTTAATATTTATAATATTATGTTTTCAATATGGTAGTTTTAACAAAAATAATGTAATACATTTTTAGTATTCAAAATTTTATATTTAAACAAACAAAATCAAGGAATGATTTACTTTTTATATTTTTTTAGATTTCAATAAATTGGAGGAAACATAATTTAACTCATAAAATCAGTAAATACATCTAATTGTCGGACAGTCATGAAAATGGTGCTGTCACAAAGACAACGTGAAGAATTGTAAGTCGAAATCTAAAAAAATTATTGGATACTTAGCAAACTACTATTAGTTAACTGTAATTTTTTTATTTTATTTTTATTACTTTTATTTTTTATAAATAATAAATATTTAATCTTGGTTTAATCTAATATACCTTTATATTTTCTTATAAACAAGTGCTAATTTATAATATTTTAAATTTTATTGGATACCAACTAGAAATTATGTTTAACTATATTTTTACTCTACAAAAATTCTGGGCTGATAATGACATATTTTTAATTCTCCTTAACTATTTTTTTTATTCAGTACTCATTAAAATTATTTCTTTTTTTTATATAAATCTATTTCTATTATTAATTTTTCCTACTATGTTCTTAATTATAATATATTATTTGAATTACTCGTAATGTTTACATTTAAGGAAGATATATTTTAAAAATTTGTAACAACGCAATTTTTGTACTAGTATTCAAAAAATCAACCTTCATCACATATTCTGTTAGGCAAATGCTATTGAATTTTTTTTTTATACTTTTTCTAAAATTTCATTGGAAAAATATGCCATATTTAGTCAAAGGGTAGACATATTTTCCTAATCAAAGTTTAATAGAAAAACTATAAAAATATTAATTATAAATAGAGGTCAAATTTTAAAACCTAATAAATAACAAAAAGCATGACCAAAAATTAATATGAATTAGGCATTAAACCGAGTAAAAAAAAATTAACAACCAAGTATTTTGCAAGAGTAAAAGTGACTATTGTCTGACAAAATGTTTATACATATTAAATACATTGAAAATGAACACTCTACATTCATTGAAGTTATGGGTGCATACTACACGCAAGAGGCTTAATTTAAATGTATGATTATAAATTACATAACTAAAATTTAAATTTAGACTGTTTGTAGATCAAAAATCTATACTTTTAATACATTTAACAATTCAACCGATAACAAAAACAATAATAATCTAATATAATCATTTGGTCCATATTCCAGGTTTTTACATTTCTGATTAATTTAATTAATTTTTTTTTATTACTATGGCATAATAAACATAATTTTAAAAGAAAAAATTATGTGATATCTTCTATTTTGTGTATTATAATTATTTAAAAAATTTTATTTTTGTAGAAACAAAGCTATAGCTGATTATCTTAGCAGTAATAGTTACCATAATGCTCTAGAAGGGTTAAAAAAAGATGCAGACATGCCTGGTGAAGTTGAAAATAAATATGGAGGTTTACTTGAGAAAAAATGGACATCTGTAATAAGACTACAAAAAAAGGTTGTTAAAACTAAAGTTAAATATTATTTATGTTACTATTAACTCTACAGAGTGACCAGTATAAGACAATGACTATATTTTTTGTTTTTGATCAAAATTCTATGTATCTTATTGGTACAACATATTTTGACCTTATTGATATGTTTCAGCTATATTTTATCATGATCACTGTCTTATGCCAGTTGTAGTTTGCTAGAAGTATAGAATATAATAAAAGCTACAGCTATCTGAATATCTTAGTTCACCGAAAAATATTTTTTTTTGACCTTGTAATCCATTGTTATCATTTTTACCATTGATAATCATTGGCACGGATAAGATATCTTAGTCCGTGATCGACAAGGTGCTGGCAATGTGTATAGATAATTATATTATCCATATACTATTGGATGCTGGAATGTATGTTTGATATGGATACAACATGATGTTGAGCATCCAAAAAAATGTAAACAAATCGATCAGCTAATTGAGTGTCGCTTCTATTATATTTTATGCTAGAAGCTAAATAACATTTAATAATCATTGTATAAATGTTTTTTATAATCTAATTGATGTTGAAGGTAAGCGAGCTTGAATCAAAACTTTCAGAGTATGAAAAAGAAATTAATTCTGGAGCTCCTAAAAGAGCATTACGATCACCAAGTGATTGGATACCAAGAGCTCCTGAAACACATTGTTTAACTGGGCATAGAGAGACTGTTATCAAAGTTATATTTCATCCTGTTTTCAATATACTTGTATCTGCAAGCGAAGACGCTACAATAAAAAGTTGGGATTATGAGACTGGTGAATATGAGAGAACATTAAAAGGTCATACAGAAGCTATTCAAGATATTGCATTTGATGAGACTGGAAAACTATTAGGTTCTTTAATAATTATATGTATTTATATTATTTTTTTATGACATTAATTTTAACTCATATTTTCACATAGTATCTTGTAGTGCTGACATGAGTATAAAATTATGGGATTTTAGTCAAACATATGAATGTATTCGTAGTATGCATGGTCATGAACACAGTGTTTCTGGAGTTTGTTTTCTTAAAGGTGGAGATTTCATTGTTTCATCCTCAAGAGATAAAACAATAAAAATGTGGGAAGTTAATACCGGGTATTATTATAATTTTATTAAAACAAACTTGGTTGAATTGTATTATTATTATTTACTGTTTCTAGGTACTGTGTTAAAACATTTACTGGACATCGTGAATGGGTCAGGAAAGTTAAAGTATCCCCTTGTGGTCAACTTTTAGCTTCATGTTCTAATGACCATACTGTAAAAGTTTGGACAATTGCTACAACTCAGTGTAAAGTATGTTAATATTTATAACAACCCAAGAATCGGACTAAATATTATGTTCAATGTTTCAAAGGCTGATTTACGTGGACATGAACATGTAGTTGAATGTATAGCATGGGCTCCAGCTGCAGCATCATCGGCTATCAATGAAGGAGCTGGAGTTGATAAAAAAAAAAACGGTTATGAAGGTCCTTTTATTATATCTGGATCAAGAGATAAATCTATTAAGGTATACATATTAAATTTTTTTAAATAAAAATGTATATTATAATCATTGTTTATTTTAGATGTGGGATGTTGCATCAAGATCATGTTTATTTACAATGATAGGACATGATAATTGGGTACGTGGATTAGTTTTTCATCCTGGTGGTAAATATGTTATATCAGCTAGCGATGATAAAACACTTAGAATTTGGGATTTAGCAAATAAACGTAATATGAAAACACTTTTGGCTCATGGACATTTTTGTACAACAGTTGGTAAGTATTCAATCAAGTAGCTTAATTTAATGGTTTATTTATAATTTATATTTTTCTTTACAGATTTTCATAGATCACAGCCATTTGTAATAACCGGTAGTGTTGACAAGACCATAAAAGTTTGGGATTGCCGTTAAATATGAATATCAGTTCTCATAATATTCATTAAATGCGCTCTATTCTGCTAATTTTATACAATATCTCCACTATAACACTTATGAAGTTTTCATTTTCTAGTCTATCATAGAAGTGTAGGTAGTTTATCCTCATGATTTGATATGTATAAAAGTAGTATTGCTTTTTATTGTTTATTAAGAAACCCCTCCCCACTTCTTTATGTTTTATAAGTATGTGTAATTTATATTATTTTCTCATAATTAGTTTTTTAATAAAGTAATAGGTTTTAAATAAATAAATTATTTTATTTGCATATTTGCTCTTTGTTTATGTATTATTTTGTTAAAATACTCTTTTTTAATTGAGCATTTAAAATAATTATAATTATTTTTTTGTATAATCCATTAATTTATGAATTTAACCGAATTCAGTTAAATTGAAATGTTTATCATTATTATATTTATTATTTTTAATACATTTCTTTTATAATTATAAATTGATTAATATTTTGGCTTATTAAGTTAAGAATTACTACAACTAGAATACTAAATATATTTCAGTTATTCAACTTCAATTTAATATCATATTTCCTTAAAAAATATATTGCTTCGCCTTATGTTTTTGATATTTTTTAAATTAATTACAACTATACTTTAAGTTATTTTATATTATTATTCACAAAAATGGGTACTTTTTGTATGGCGAAAGTAAATTTTTTTAAAAAGAACAGTGGGAAGGTCTTCTACGTAAAAATATTAATATATTATATTTAGTTTATAAAACGCATTGGTTCTTCCCAATATAATGTATTTCTTTTAAAAAACATCTTTACTTAAATTTATATTTATGTCTCAAATATAATAATATTTTGATTTATTTATAAATTAAGAATAGAAATAAGTGTATATTACTTAAAAAAAACTTTGGAGAAGTAAAAAATGTCTTCTGTGTTTTACATTAAAGGATTGGAGTGCTTGAATTTTTAGGCAAATAAAGAATTGAAATTAATCACAAAATGCTGTACCTAAGAGACGGCCAAAATACAAAAAAAAAAAAAGTAAGAACTTTGAGATAAATAAAGATGTGAAATCAAATCAAAATTATGTAATTGGTGGAAAAGTGCTTAAGTGGTACAAGAGAGAATAATAAAAGCTCATGATAGAATTTTATGGTATATAAAGAAGTGAAATCAAACCTCAAAATTCTGTGCTGAAATTTGAAAAGTTGTCTAGTGATAAGAAAATTTGACGACATGAAATTATTTAAAAATTTCAGCAACAAACAAAAAATAATTGATCAGATACTTCTATATTTGCGCGCAAAAATCCCACAGAACGAAATGCATCTTTGGACATGTGAATTTTCGCAAACAATTACAGATCTATATGGTCAATTATTTTTGTTAGTTGCTAAAATTTTTGGGCAATTTCATGTCATCTAATTTTCTTATCACTAGACAACTTTTCAAGTTTCAGCACAGAATTTTGATAACTTTAAACTATTTAGGCAAATGGAAATGTAATTATGTTACATTTAAAACCTATACACAAGATGTATTGGTAAAAATGTACAAGAATATTAAATGCACATGTTTATTTGATCAATATTTACTTTCAGGGAGGGGGTGATTTATTCTCAAGTATCTGGAAAAAATATATATTTAACACTTACCTGTACAAAAAACTGTATTGTAATACACAGATTATCAAGTGCTGTATATCTAATACTGTAATAAAATATGTTGAATATATTTTTTCAACATCTTTGCTTCTTAAACTATCTAAAAAGTACTAGGGAATTAATCCCACTTGTTATACATGTTCACTGAATTTTTTCATACTTACATCATCTTAATATATTTTTCATTCTATTTTTTTTAAAATATGAATGATATTTTATATCATTGAAAGAATGTTATGGTTTTATAGTACTCAAATTACATAACTGATAATATTATTTGTTATATAATTAAATAACTAATTGAATATTTATCCTTTACATTTCAGACAGGATAAATTCATTTTTTGATAATAATACTTAAAAATGTAAACACTTATGAACTAGGGATCCCATATGTCCCATATTTGAATAGTGTCCCAGCATCCCGACACAAGTATAAAAATAGAAGTTTTGTCTCATATTTTGTATAATCCATATTGTGTGTACCTTATTTTAAAAATTAAATTTTTTAAGTATCATAAAGCTTTTTAAAATTTGTATTATTTTATACTATTGATAAGCCATAATATCTAAATCAAATGATAATTAATAATATTTCATTATGAATAAAAAAAAAATTTAAAAAAATAGCTGTCACCTAATCATTTGTTTTTAATTTTAATTATAGTTTATATTTATTTTAAGTATCAAATATTATGTTTAACATTATTTTATAGTATATTTAGTAACTGTGAGAAAAATGAAAAGTAACATCGAAGCCAAATATAATTTTAGCTCCCAAATGTTTACAAAAAATTTGTACAACAAACATCACATATTTAATTTTGTAATATGTTAATTGCTAACTCAAGTCTTCTCCCCCCCCCCCCCCACCAAACACAAATGTGAATTTCAAATGTAGGTATGTCCAGTATTTTTAAAAAATGAATCGGATCCCTATTATGGACTAAGACTTAACTTTTAATAATTTATTATTTTGTTAAATCTTTTTGATATTGTATCCTAATACTATTTTTTTTTTCATAAATAAGCGCATATTGGATCTTACCATGGAAGTTACTATATTCATTTTTATGTTCATAAAATTAATATTGATTTTTGCTTCCAAATTTTAATAAGTTAAATTAATTGAGATAAATAACTGAACTTTTAGTTTAATACATTTTGTTTTATAATTTTATTTTTAAATTTAAAATATTAAATTATATATTTAAGGCCTTATATAATAAATCTTTCACAATATCAGAACTATCTTAAACAAAAAATGTAAAAGCCATGATAGAACATTTTTATAAATTGTTTTGTAGTAACTCCTTTATTAAAGGTACTAATTGATAAATAATGAAATTACTATAAATTTTTCATTCCTTTCTAAGATAAATTAAAGTAAGTAAAATTCAACTAGTTAAAAATTTAATAATTCAAACCCTTAAAATTTACCAAAAGAAAAATTAAAAAAACAAAAAAAGTCTAATATAATTAAAATTAATTCAAACTTAACAATTTAAATATAAATACTATCAAATTAGTAGTTATAAAATATGTAGAATTAAATTGATTGCCAACCTTTAGTTTAAACATGTATAATGAACATTTAGTCAGAAATAAGTATTTATTTCTAAATATTCTACCTTCTTCATTATATTCAATGTAAATGTTTAAAATGGCTTTGTTGCACATTTCATTACAGTTTATAAAATTTATTAAAGAAATGATAAGAAATATTTCAGGTATTTTGAATAATTTTAGTTTTATCTTGAAATTAAACACAATATAATAATAGAAGCATCTATATTTCTTGTAGTTTAATAATGTATTAAAAAATATACAGAAAATTTTGAAAAACTTATACTAGAAAATTATCAATTAATTTACATTAAATGTCAGTACTTGATGGTTGAGTTTTATTTAGTTTTACTTAGTAATATTTTTAGTTCACATTTAATCAATAAGTATTTATAAATATTTTTAAGTAACTCCAACTTGATATTAAGGTTCTACTTAGTCACTAAAAATTAATACAAGGTAGTATTTGGGTAAAATATTAAGTCTATTAAATAAATACTTCAATAATATTTATACATTATATTAACCCAATTTACAATACAAAATATAGTTACTTGCTACGTTATTACACATTTAAACTTTTGTTAAAGTTTTTAATTAATAGAGGAATATCTTCTTCTTTTAAATGTTCTGCTTTAAGTATGACATTTCCTATAGCAATAGTGGTACGTACAGAAGCACTCTTAATCCAAATTTTTCCATTTGCCCCAATAACAATTTCATATGGAACAAACTGTCCAAGATGATAAAGTAATTTTGAATTTGATTTCCTTAATTGTAAGGCATAATTCAAATTAACAGTAATTAAAAATCCATTTTCCAATTGACCTAGAATAATACTATTAGCATATTCTACACAGCTAATTTCAGATTCCATGTATGGAGTGGCCATTTTAATTTTGGCTGCTATGACATTCCCCAATTTAATATCAGGTCTATTTTTTTTGGTAGCATTAGTAAATGCTAAATAAGGAAGTGTAGCTAATTCAGAAGCTCCGATATCAACTTTATACATTTCAGAAGTTTTGGCAGCCACAATTCCAATTACAATATCATCTTTTGCTGGTGAATATTTCTTCTTACGATATTCAACCCAAAACAACTTCTCATCTTTACACTTCAGTACTCCGCTATTACACACAAATATTTTGTTGTCGACAATCTTCAATCCGGGACCAATGATTTTTTCATTTTTTTTACAAATATCTCCTTTTAAAATTATATGAGAAACATCATTACTTGGTAAAACAACGTTGTTAAATTCCATAGAAAGCATTGTTAAATAAAACACAATTGTTAACTTAAATTTAAAACTTAACCATAAAATGAGAAGTGGGATTAGAGACCGAAAGACGCTGTGTCTTGTATTGTGAGACCTGGACTTGGTCCACCAGAGGTCGTGCAGAGACGATCGCGTTGGGCTTACGGGTCGTGCGCTCTAATGGTCAGGTAGTGAAACAACACATGCGATGGGATGACAGTAGGACCGGCCATAGAGTAATTACTCTATGGGACCGGCAAAGATCGAGGACGATCGTGGATGCTAGAATGATCAAATGTAAACTCCCGTTAACTGGGAAGGGATAGCGTCATATGTCTATGCGGTTGGATAGCTCAGTGGTAGATTTCAAATTGGGGGTGTCATTTTTTCGAAAGTACAATTACAAAATAATGAAAGTAAATTATTAATCTAAATTAGAACTTAACTGATAAATGAAATTGTTAATTTTTAAAATTAAATTATAAAGTTTTCCGTATACACCAACCACAGAAATCGGTGTAGCAATTGAAAATAAAAGATTCACGGTCCGAAAGTGGCAAATGTTCTCCAACGCGAAACAAAAAATAAGCTTCCAATATTTTTCGTTGATCTAGAACCAGCAATAATGAATAAGGAAATATTTACCCTGATATCACTACTTCATACGAAAGTTAAAGTAGAAGAACCCCACAAGCGAAAAAACATTTTACAGTGTCTAAACTGCTAAGACTCAATTTGGTCACTCAAACAAATATTGTTCATACCACCCATGATGCGTCCGATGTGGAGAAAACCATTAATCCACCTATTGTAATAAATCCAACACATTACCTGCCAAATGTGCTCCCTGCTAAGGTGACCACCTTTCAAATTACAAAGGCTGCCAAGTCTACAAGAATCTCCAAAATTTCCGAAATCCCATCTCAAAACAACATAATCTTAACAATAACAATAACAATCGGAATAACGACAATCATACAAACAATGTAAATAATAATTACTGTAAAGTTACCCAGAAGCAATCACCCAAAATAAACCCTGTTCGCGCAATCATCTCAGTAATTGCTCAAGCGATAAATTTGTCATACGACAACCGGTCCGACTAGTGGCGTAAATATATCGGTCTTTCGAGATTGGTGATTTTGGTCGGACCGGAAAAGCTACTACGTTGTCAAAATGTTTGACAGTACGCCTACAACTTTCAATGAAGTTTTTGCTATGCGACCACATTGCATACTACTTATAGTCGATATTCGGTTGCCGAGAATCAGTATCAGTCTGCTGTACTCGAATATTGCTGGCTCTATCCGGGAGCAACATACACTTTGCTGCCAAAGAAGTCTACCATCGGTTTTAGTGTTCGTCGCACGTGCCTAGACACGATCGCGTGAGCGCAACCAATCGAACACCCAGCTGTGTGAAGTATTACCGTCGCACCTTATATGTGTGGTGTCTTTCTTTTATTATATCACCTTTTTGTGCCATTATGTTATAGTATACGAGCGTATAGCTCGTATTGTGCCGTCATGGTTTTTGATATTTGATATTATTATTATTTAATTATATTTTCTTGTTAATACGTCCACGACGCATGTTTTGTAGTATTTTTATAATTGTATTTATTGTAATAATCATTAATTAATTTACTTTTTTGATCAATCTTGAAGTCTTGTATTATATTGTATATAAAATTGTAATCATTGAACTAAGCGACCTTCTTTCATCCGTAAAGGATCCGTTGTTTCATTCGTAAATGTATGGTCAGAGGTCGGTAAAGTGCCGCGTCGACTTAAGCACAAACAAACCCCCTTAAATTCTTACGCTCAAGCGGCAACTAATCAAAATTCAAATTTTCCAAATCAATCAAATGAAAACTCTTTAACAAACTTTCTAAACAATTTTAAAGCATTAATAAATCCCCTCTAATCCCTCTTCACTGGATAATATCAGTTATTATCTTAATTTTAAAAAGGGTAAACCACCCGATATCCCATCATTCTATCGTCCTATAAGTCTCTTTCCATTTTTTGCTCAACTTACCGAAAAATCAATTCTTAAACATACTCATCAAAATCATAAATAATAAATAAGTTATATCTCATACTCAGTTTGGGTTTCGTAATAAACATTCCACAATCCACCTAGAACACCGTCTGACCGATAGTATACTCATTTGAAAAAAAAATCCTATTCTTCCGCTGTCCTATTGGATATAACTCAAGCATTCAATAAAGTAAGGCACCCCGGGCTCCTATTTAAAATAAAAAAACTTCTTTCACCTCTTTACTTTTTTTTTTAAGTCATATCTAAAAACTGACATTTCGTCACCAAAGTAGGCTCTGAATTTTCCAACCCAACCCCCATACTTGCTGACGTCCTTCAAGGTGTCATCTCCTCCCCAATATTGTACAATATATATACAGCAAACCAACCAACATCCACTCATACATCCGTAGATGAGTTTGCAGATGGCAAAATTATATTCACTTCCCACAAAGACTCTTAAACTGCTGGTCTTTTTCTACAAAATCATTAAAACGACCTGGAATTATGGTACTCAAAATGGAAAATTAAAATGAATAACAAAAAGTGTTCCCATATTATTTTTCTGCCAAAAAAAGGTTCCCTCCCCTCGATCTCTCTCACCAACCAAATTAAATTACCAGCTTCCAATGTCCATTATTTAGGTTTAATACTAGGTAAACGTCTAACCTGGGCAGAACATGTCAAGCAAAAAAGGCAATTGCTGAACTCCAGACGTAAAGCTTTCTGCCCTATTCTAGAGAAAAGCTCCAAAACTTCCTTAAAATATAAACTACTATAATACAAATCTCTTCTAAAACTAATATGGTCCTTTGATCAGGGACTGAGACCTTAATGGTTTTAAAGGTTTCGGTAAGGGTTTAGGTCTTTAAAATTTTTTTTTAGGGGTTTCGGTTAAATTTCGGGATTTAATGAAGCTTAAAATTTAGGTTCCGATTAAAACCGGTTCCAACCGGTTTCTAACGTTTATTTTTTTTATCGGTATTTGTTTTTCAAACAAAAAATGTTAATACATGTATGCACTATGCAGTTGTATGTTATACTCATTTAGGTACCGTGAAAGCTTATACTAAAACATTTGAAACCTCATAACTCATAAGAACCTGTGTTTTTGTTAATAATTAATATTTAGTTTACAGTTTATAATAATTTATGGTTAAATTTTAACAAAATTATTCAATTTGTATAATTATCAAAATATACTATTTAGAAGTTTAGGACTTACTAATCTATTCAGTTTTATTTTGATAAAAATGCAAGATAAAATGTACAAAATACAAAGTAAATAAAAATAATTAATAATTATATTATATTACAATATAATAAATTGTAATATTAAGATTCAATTTAATATAATAATATATATTGTTATTTGTAATATCACAGTTAACAAATGTTTAATAAGACATAGAATTTCTTTTGTGTTTTAACACTGGCATTGAATCAGTATTATTATACACTATTATTATACAATAGGTATCTAATTATTTATATATTGACTAGATTTTCAATATATAAGGAAGACGACAATATAAAAAACAAATATTACAAACTACCTACGTAAATTAAAATATATATAATTTTAAACTTATATTTTTTTATACTTTGGTTCATAACATAGTAAGTACTTAGATAAATTATTTAAGATTTTTTACTATAGTAGATAAGTGACAGGGTTGGACTAGGCCACTGGGGCACCGGGGCATGCCCAGGTGGGCTGCTGTAATTTTGGTTAAATAAAATTACTTAGATTTTTTTGTTTTTAATTTAATGCGCTTATCTTCTATTCTTAAAATAAAATAAAAAATATCGTCTTGAACATGACATTACTAATGGATGCGGTGACACAGGATTAGGTATCGGAGTTTGAAAATTTAACATATTTAATGTCGCGATAGACTAATTGATAATAATGATTTCATCAAAATATTTATAAATAGAAAAATTGTAGGAAATTTGAATACAAAAGATGTGTACAATATGTTAATCATACGAAGAACCGTTCGCGTTTGTTCAAACAACATTTTATTAAAATAAAATGTTGGTATGGGTTACGGTCTTAGAAGATTAATTTTCTAAGACCATGGTATGGGTAGACATTGTCGCGTAAGATATGAGATAACGAAATTGTTTTTCGATAATAATTTTTATAAGATTTATTAGACTTTTATTTAAAATTTTTTAATAATTTGACGTTCAGTCAATAACAAGTCTGTTACTAGTTTCCAACCTTAATGGACCTTTGGGCCACATTCACAAATTAAAAATGGTTCTAGAGCCAGACAATATAAAAAATTTATATGATATTCAATGACATTTGCTAGTTTTGAAATTTACTGTGGGCCGCATAAAAGAGACATTAATTGCCGACCCCACTGTTCTAACTCAATTAAAATTAAATGTATAAACATATTTAAATCAAATCATTTTTTATGGTGTAAAATTTATCTTAATAGGTAGGTCATTATATCAATATTATAGATAAGATATATTATGGGTAAACTAGATTTATTTAAGGTATAACATTAAATCTGAATATATTCAAATGTACTTGTGTAAATATTATTTTTTGAGTTACAAAGATATATTTTCAGTTAAACAATAATTTGATCAGGTACCTACCTACTTATAAAGTTCTATTGAGGGCGTTCGAAATTATTTTGCCCGGACCGAGCTATAAAGCTAGTCCAACCCTGATAAGTTATATAGTTATTAAATATTAACTATAAAGATAATGTCGTATTGTCTGTCTACATGGAATTTGAATATTTCTTAGGTAAATATTTTATTTTTATTTTTATTTTGTTGTTTATGATTTTAAACTTAAATTAAAGTCAAAATTAAACAAACGTAAAATGTGTAAGTACTTACTTTCTACATCACTAGATAATTGAAAACCGATAAAAACCCCAAAAAACCGGTATTTTTTCGGTTTTGTATAAGGGTTTCGGTTTTAGTTAGGGTCTTTTAAAAATGTAAAATAAAGGTTACGGTTATTTTTGGTTCTTTAATTTATTCAAGGTTTTATGTTCTGTAACCGGTTTTTTTCGGTCCAGTCTCAGTCCCCTGCCTTTGATATCCAGTTATGGAGCTGAGCAAAAAAATCAAATATTTACAAAATACAATATGTTCAATATACCTTACTACGAATCATCACAAAAGCACCCTTCTACGTTTCAAATCACACCCTATACACTAGTGCTCTGCACATTCCGTAATTTTAGGGACCGGACCGGATTGAAAATGTTAAAAATGGACCGAACCGATTGCTATATTTAATTTTAGACCGGACCAGACTGAAAATAATAAAAATAATTTGTTAGAGTGAACCGAGACCGGACCGACAGTCCAAACTAATAAATTTCGAACTGTAGTAAATCATCGGGTAGCGAACATCCGCTAACATTATATCATGTATGTATACTAATGTGACAAAACCACAACGGAAATCAATATCAATATTTACTCGTAGAAGAAATTTATAATAGGGCTGTATCATCAGTATATGTTCCAGCTAAAATGTTTTCAGTTGTGGGCAGGTCCGACGTATAAATGGTGTAAAGAAGGGAGCAATATCAATGCCTTAAGGGACACCAGCAAAAAAAGGATATTTTTTTGAGTGTTGTAAGTTATAGTGGACATTAAAAGAGCGGTTGGCAATATAGGATTTAAGTATTAAGTATAAAGGGGCTGGAAAAATATTTTTTAATTTGAAGAGGAGACCATAATGACAGACGGTATTAAACGCTTTCGCGACGTCCAGAAAGACACCGGTGCAATATTTTTTGGTTTTGAGTGCTGCGGAGATAGTGTCCGCACCCTGTGAAGTTGACGAGTTGTGGCGTGATGAGCACGAAAGCTAAACTGGAAGTTTGGAATGGTGTTTTTTGATTGTGCTACGGTAGTGATTCTTTTGTGAATTATTTTATCAAGGATTTTAGTGAAGACTGGCAGTAAGCTGATAGGCCTGTACGAGAAGGGAATTTCTGAAGGCTTTCCAGGGTTGAGTACTGTAAGAATAACAGATGCTTTCCAGGTGGTTGGAAAATAAGATAACCAAAGGGATGCATTATAGATATAAGTAAGATGAACGATCGCTTTCAAAGGTAGACTTTTGACTACTTTGTTAAAGATGAGGTCATGACTCGGGGATTTGTTGTTAATCAGTTTTTTTATAATACCTACTATTTCCACTGGGGATGTTGGTTTTATAGTTAGGGTCATAGGAAATGTTGACTGAAGATACTCCATGACGGACGACATGTGTGGTGCTGGTGTAAGAATAAGATGTGGTTTGAAAACGCCCGATAATTCTTCAGCGAGAATATCAGCTTTTTCTTTGTTTGTAAAAGCAAGTGAATGGTCTGTTCGGTGGAGAGCAGGAGGGGGGTCAACTTGAAGAAGCTTCAGTTAAGTGAATTTCTGAAATAAATGCAATCTGAACTTTTCTTTCATTGAGGTCTAATTGTAGTTAATTTAAGTATTGTGTGATACCGTTTGCGTTCCATAAGAATATTGTGAGTGGTTGAGCATTATTTGTTGACATTTTTAATAAGATTATCAATGACTGTGGTGAGAAGTGATATGAGAGGGATTATTAGTGCCTTGAATTCATTAATGAATAAGGAGAGTTGAGAAGCGATTTATGGTTTTGGGTAGAGTTGTGATCTAAAGTGTCAGAAGATGGATTCTGAGGTAATGATGGAAAATTTTAAGAGTAATCTGGGTGCGTATGTTTGTAAATATTCGTTACAGTTGGTTGACTTGGGGGAGAACTTTTATTTGTGATTCTTTTGGAAGGGTTCACTAATAATTTTTTTTTTAAATCGAGATGAGATTGACAACCTTTAAAGTTTTCTGGGTGATTACCACTACACAGCTCACATTTGGCTGGGGAGGTTCGATTCTTAGTGCAGGTTGTTGACTCATGATGCTCGCCACAGCGAATACAATGAGGAGAATGATGACAATAACTGCGTGTGTGACCGTAGTCCTGACAGTGGTGGCATTGTGGAATTTCTTTTTTTTTTGGATGAGGAGGTTCAGCTTTAACTTTCGTGAAACACAATGAAATAATTTTAAAAATATCAGCGTATGTTGAATTAGGTTTAAGATCAATGAAGAAGATCGGAAGGGGAGTTTTGGTTAGCTCGTGAGTTACATGCGTTATATTTCTGGCGACAAATCCTTTGCTTAAAAGTTCCTGTTTAATAAAAGAGGTATCAATGGTTTAGTACAGTTTTCTGATTACGACGCGATATGCTTTTTCATCTTTTAGTTGAAATGAATGAAATGAAACATTGTTAATTTGGAGGTATTTAATGACTGTTCTGTAAGATTCAGGGCTATATGTTTGAAGTTTAATTTTTTTGTTAGAGCTTTTACAATCAAAACCGGTAGTAAAAAATTAAAATTAATATTACAAAGTTTAATCTTCTTTTTGTTTTTCCAAATTCAGAAGTAATACGAGTATCATCGATATTTATGGGTATAATCTTGTGAAATTTTTTTCTAAGATAAGTTATCTTTCTGTTAAAAGTCGAACACTTGAACATTTCCGCAGATTTACTATTATATTTAATATCCCGTTTCTTCTGTAGTAACTTTCTCATCTCCAATATCTAACAATTATTTTGAGAATCTTCCGCACGCAGCTTTTTTTGATTGAATCGCAAGTATCAAAATCGTTCGCTCTCTATCTTTACATACATTTCGACCATGAATTATTGACAAAGCTCATGACATCGTAGAATAACTTTTTCCTGATCGCGACTAATCTTCAACCGATATGCATAATAATTCTTCGAACTAACATTCTTATTTGTTTTGGCACCTGTTGCAGAATCTTGTTGTTTAATTTTTATGCAATACCCGTCATTTAGTACCAAAAATAAAATTAATAGTTTTTTAATATTTTTATTTAATAATTAATTTTCAACTGCGCAGTTATCGACCGGGTCAAAAATTATTAAATTAAACTATGATTTATTAAAAAATAGCACTTTTTCAAAATTTGAGCTAAATCGGCCCAGCTGTTCTCAATTGATGAATTGTTATACATTTTTGGCTCCATTTTACCTATTTATATAAATCGTTCTTAAGCTGTTTTTAAAACGCTTTGTTTATCACTATAAAAACGAATAAAATTAAATAAAAAATATTCCTTCGTCCGCTCAGAATCGTTTTTTATCGAATGCAATCATTGCATTCAAATCGAATACAGTAAAATTACACTAACCAATCTGAGTTTTTCCTATTTAATTTACAAATTGACCCACTTTGAACATTTTTTTATTTAACGTATTTTAATATAAAATACCCAGGCCTGATGAGAAGAGGAGGAAAAGGATGATCCCCCGAAGCCCGAAATTGTTGGGAGGGCCCGGGAATTAGTATAAATTATTATAAAAAAAATACAAATTATTATAAATTAAATACAATCAATGATAAAAATTTAATGAACACTGCAGAAAAATTAAGATATTTTCTTAAAAGGACGTCACTCCCACATGTGTTATTTCCGTCTAACATACGTACAACATAGTAAATTTACGTTCAGTGATTCAAATGTAGTAAAGCTTTAATATTAGAATAAACTGAACCTATAATCAAACTATTCAAGGGTCGGTAACCTTTTGCGACGGAAGAGCCAAAATTTACTATACTCATGACTGCATGTCTTTTGAAAGTTTGATTAAATTTTACTCATAACTTATTGTTTTAAGTTTGAGCACGACTCTACATTTTTATTTGTTAATTGGCTTCTTACTTCATTTTTTATTGTATTCATGCAAGAGAACCCTTTCTTGTTCGCACGAATATGTCGACCAGAAAGTTGCCAGTACTCCAAATGCTAATGTTTATACCTCACTGTAGCATTCTGGAACACTATTTCATGGGTCGAATATAAATGCCTCTATTCTCGACATTACTTGTAGAGGTGTCCATTTGTTCTAAGCGGCGTGGGTGCATTTCTGGACCTCCAATTCTTCCAATTTAATTTTGAATTCTGTGAACTTGCAACTCCACAAAGTTTTTAAAATATTTTTGACCATAAAATAAATAATTTTTGTGTATGTAACTGGAGAATCTTAACTTAAGATCGAAAGAGTCGCATGTGGTTCACGAGCCGCAGGTTGCCGACCCCTGTTCTAGGGTATGACCACCGATGTGGGTATGACCATATAATATGTGTAGACATTTTAAATAAGTTGGTACAATTGGTTTGTAATCGGCATTAAACATGTTAAGAAAAGTTATTTAATATAAGGTGATAAGACGAGGTATATTGTGCAATCGCATTATGGATCGCATACCTTATACCATATTCTATGGATCGTATCGCGATAAGGGGTATGAGATATTTTTTTAATAGTTTTTAGTTACCAATAGGCTGAAACTAAGTTTTTATTAGAGTTTATTAAACAAATATTTGATCAGCTTCATAAGTAGACGATTAAAAACATATAAATTATAAATAATTTTTCAATTTTCTGTTAAATTGTATTTAAATTAATGCGTCACAATTATATTTGCGTTTTTAAATCAGTGACAACAATGTTAATTTTTGTGTAAAAAAATTATGCAGCAAATAGTTACCACGGGTAGACTGATCTCACGTGCACTTTGGAATGGCTTTACAAATTTGGCACCTTCAAACTCCGAACACGTAAATAAAAAACGGGAACCTTCTTTTTTATATGCTGTTTGCGGTTTTCCTAAGGAATCTTCTCGTAAAAATCCTCCAATAAAAGGGAAGTTTGGTGATGATGCTTGGTTTTCGGCAAAAGGAAAAGCAACAGATGTATTAGGTATTTTTATTTTTTAGTAACTTACTGTTTGTTAATTTTTTTTGTGTTGTGAGTGATTCTTTTAATTTGCTTAAATGTTTTATTGGATAGCTTTAAACAGATATTATACAATTTTATCTTAATACGTGATTTTTACTATTTTGTAAAGTATATCTGCTGTAAAAAGAGAGTAGAATAAGATTATTTTTAGTCAAATTTAAACCTACATTTCAAATTCATAATTGATCACCTTCATTCTTCTTATTAATTTTCTGCAAAAAAATACTAGTATTTTTTAAATAGTTAATTTAAGCCTATGAAAAAATAATGTGATGTATGAAAATTTCCTACTCAAAGAAAAAGTATGATTGTTACAATTTGCCTTTATCAATATTTAATCTATAATATTGTATATAAATATTATGATAATTGTTAATGTTCATTGATTTTTTCCAATTCAATTTTATATTAACTATACATATATATCTAATTTTTTAGTCTTTTATTGATTATTCTCATTATTAGGTGTTGCTGATGGTGTTGGAGGTTGGCGTCATTATGGCATTGATCCAGGTGAATTTTCAAGTTTTCTTATGATGACATGTGAAAGACTAGTATCTTTGGGAAAAATTAAACCCAATGAACCTAATAAATTATTAGCCCAAAGTTATTATGAATTACTTGAAAATAAACAACCAATTTTAGGTAGGAACATTTTATTTTATTTATTATTTCAATAGGATTAGTAACTTCTGATAAGATTTTTTTTCAGTGTTGATTTGGCTTTAAGTGCCAAAAAATAACTATAGTACTGTCTTAATTCAATATTGGCATAATTGCAATACTTTAATTACTACAAAAGAAAACTTCTATAATCATTTCTTATTTATTATTTAACAACACTGAAAAAAAATTCTTGAAATAGTTAAATCTTTAATATGAAAAAACATTAATTATTAAAAGTTTAATTAATCTAATATATTTTTATAAATTATAGGAAGTAGTACAGCATGTGTAGTAGTGTTAAATAAAGAAACTTCCAGTATATATACAGCTAATATTGGTGATAGTGGTTTTATGGTTGTTCGCGGAGGGCATGTTGTTCATAGATCTGAGGAACAACAACATTATTTTAATACTCCTTATCAATTATCAGTTCCACCGCCTGCTCACTCTGGTCAAGTACTAAGTGATAGTCCTGATTCTGCTGACACTTCAGATTTTGCTGTAGAAAATGGAGATGTCATTTTATTAGCTACTGATGGAGTATTTGATAATGTTCCTGACCATTTATTGCTAAAAGAACTAAGTCGAGTTGAGGGTGTTCGAGATCCTACAAAATTACAATGTGCAGCTAACACTATTGCATGGATGGCTAGAATACTAGCATTTGATAGATCTTTCTTATCTCCATTTGCACGTGCTGCTCAAGCTAATGGTATCAATACTGTTGGTATGTTCTAATAATATTATGTATATCATTAGTATTAAATTCATATTAAAATATATCAATATATCAACATTTATTTTAATAAAGAGTTCTAACTTAATCTCATAAATTAGCATTTATAAGAACTATTTAAATATTTACAATTTCTTAATTGTTCATTCATTAAAATTTTACAAGCAATTATATTTATTGTTAATTACCTAATTTAGCTCTATATAATTTTTTCTTTTTTTTTTTTAGGTGGAAAACCTGACGATATCACTGTGCTTCTAGCAACTATTGCCATGTAAGTCAAAATACTCAAGCTATGAAAAAGGAGGTTAAAATTATTCTTTGTATACTTGCTCCATTTTTAATTAAATAATATTAAACATATAAATATAATTTGTTTATATATTGTTTATGAGTTTTACCAACTTTATGTTGTTATGTATAAATTATTTTAGAAACAAAATTTTTAACAAATGAACAATTATGATGCCTTTGTACATTTTAATTTGCATACAAAATTTTCAATTGAAAAATGTTTATTGAACATTGTAAATATGAATGTATATTTAAAATTTAAATTACATCAATTAAAATAAATAAATAAATTTGTTTTTATTTTGATACTAGTGGTTAATTATTTTACAAAACATAAACATTTTAAGATAGGCTAGTTTTAACTTAACTAGTGACTTTATGTTAAGACTTTAATCCTTATCCATATTGTACACAGAATCCCTTAGTTTTAGTTTAAGATTAGATAGTAAGTTGTATGAAAAATTTATTACTATTTATTGAAGTGATAGTTAATAATAGACAATGAAAAAGAAGTGATTCAACAAAAATGTGATGTTTAATTAAAAAAGGTATATCATAATGTTAAAACTTTGTTGGTATCCTAATTTGCATGAAATGAATATAAATTTGATATATTTAATATGTAAGGAATAAAGCTTTAACCTAATAACTTAAAGTCAAATATTTATATACCTAATACACTTTATCCATTTTTTTTTCATAGTTAAAGGTAGATTAAGATGAAAAATCTATTTAATCAATGGACTAAGTATTTTAAAAAGCAATTTTTGTTTTCAAGCTTATTAAATTCTCTCATACTGTTACTGTTGCACGAATAGTTATCCCATTTTTTTAGAGCTGAATAAGTTTTGTAACATTTTGATATGCTTCTTCAAGTTTGATCATAATAATACTTTAAACCAATTGGAAAGAAAATCATGTATTAAAACTTGCTGAAATTTGAAGATTTGAACCAAATATAATTTTCAAGAAATTAAGGTCTATAAATAAAAACAAATTTATTTATTTTATATTTTCCAATAAGTATATATATGAAGGGATAAAAAATATATGCTAGACATAAAAATATTTTATAATCTACTTATTTTAATATTAATAACATTAGATTTCTATATACTATTCTGGTGTCTTTTTATGTGAACTCCAACCATGAAAACATTTGGTAAATCTTCGTGATTCTTTATTTTTCAATGCTAACATTAATTTTCGTGGTTTTTCTGGTTGTTTAACTCTTAAATGTTGTATATAAACCTGTTAAAATAGTGATTGAAAAAAAAATTAAAATCTATCACATCAATTGATTTTTTTATAGGATCAGATAATTCAACTATGTTATAGTAAATAAATGTAACTATTAAGTAATTTTAGTTAAAAATAAAAATGATTCAATAATTTTTTAATGTAATAAATTAAACCAATTACTGATATACTAGTAATAGTATAAATTATTAACTCATTCAATCACGTAGCTAGGTATTTTAAAAGGAGGGGTTATTAAAAATGAATCTATAAAATAATAACTTTTGTGAATACTTGATTGTACAAGCATACAAATACATTAGTACAATACACATGAATACCTATTCGTGTAAGAAAAAGTATTTAAATATTTTATAAAAATTTAAATAGGAACATTTTTGTCTCATATATATTTTAAATTATGTATGAAACAACATAAAACCACGGCTTTAATTTATGAGACAAAATGGTGTAATTTGAAGTCGGATTCCAGCTTTACATTATTGTTATTGTAATATGTATATATCTCATTACTAGGACAGAGGAGTGGTAACTCTAAAAATCACCAAATATGCAGTTATATACATAAAATATGCAATAAAAATATGCATTTTAAAATTAATAATATGCATTAAAAATATACATTTTAAAATTAATATTTTAAAAAAAAAATATGGATTTTTTCTTCTGTAAGTACCTATTAATTTAATGAATATGTTTTACTTAATGTTTAAGTATAACTTACATGTTACAATAAGAATTTAATTATTTGAATTTATGAGATTATGTGTTTTAACCATTTAGTTATAAGTTCTGGAGGAAGTGAAAGATCAGGTGCGAGGTGCTGTATTTTTAAATATTACTACACGAGAAGACGCTTTAAAAAAAAAAAAATTTACATTAGAATTTAATAACATTATTTTGGTTGTATAAAAAAATAAATAAAAACGTTGATGAAAAAATAATAATGAAATGATAAATTATTTAAAATATGCATCTAAAAGTATAAAATTCAAGAAATATGCCCTAAAAATTAAAAAAACTCAAAATATGCATTTATATGCAAAATAAAATTTTAAAATTAGCTTTGTGAAAACATGAAACTTATTTATTTCGTACTCTGCTATTCTTGTGACTGTGCTAAAAAATTATACAAATGCTATAAGTCCTCTACCCAACTCATTATGATAAATATGTGTTCACCACAGTTTATGATAAATTTTTACCTTTAAAAGACTTATATATAAAATGATTAGGGGAGGGGGAATATTACTACACTTATAACACCCGCATCAAATACGTATCTGAAGTCATTAAAAATTGTTTTTAATTATTTAACATAGTTGAATTATTATATATTATATATAAAAATAAACAAATAAAACAGATTAATTAATATAACAGAAAAATAATTTATGTTTAAAATTTTTAAGTTAAATGTGATACCTATGATTACTTACAATACAAAACAAAGCACAATTATTTAAATAAAATAAATTATCTTACTTGAGCAGACTTATAGGCTAATTTTAATTCCACTTCACTACTTCTAGCACCGAGCCATAAAAATACTTGCTCTCCGTTGTCCAGAATCATTATATCATCATCAGCTAAATCATCCTAAAATTAAAATAAATTTATGACTTAAAAAAACTAACTTACTAACTAACTTAAAAAAAAAAAATTGGGAAAAAATTTAACCTGACAAAAATCTGAACATTTTTCTGATATAGTGAAGTATCCTTTTTCATTTGAGCATCGAAATAGTCTTGTAAATTGCATATATTCAGCATCTTGTTCATATGGTTTTTCTCCGCCTAATGCTACCCAGAAAAAGTTATTAGGTTCTTCTCCTTCGTTAATAACTTGTAAACTGGTCCATGCCTATAATTTAAGAGTAACATTAAATATTATAATTATAAAATATTATCACCATCCACCTATATATATAATCATGTCAAAAAGTATTAATGGAACAAGATTTGCAATTGTAGACAGTCCCTTAGTCCGATCCACCAACTTCCACAATTTTCTAGCATATGTAGAGCGGAAATCTATGTAATATAATGCATGGCAGTACAATCTACAATCCTATCAGATAATAAATTCACTCTAATAATTAGTGATTCTCAGAGAGCCCTAATATCATTTTAAGACGACCAATACCCATAGGAAGAACTCATCAAACTCAACAAAGAAATTTTTTTCTCAACGAAAAACAAAATCAATTTTGTGTGAATCCCATTTCACATAGAAATTCCAGGAAAAGCTGATGCAATAATGTATAAAGTGGTGACTTCCACTACTACCTATAATATAAACAAAAGACCTGATAAACGAAGCAAAAAAAAAAAAAAAAACACCAAATTTTTAGAATGTGGCAGCAAAACTACTGGGATTAAATTCTAAAATACAAACTATGGAACTTAAAAAAAATAATATCAAAATAGGTTTATTCTAACATTTCAAGTAGGAGAAAATAAATAATAATCAACAGAACCAGTGTAGGTCACTCCTACTTACACACTCTTATTAGATGACTAATGAATCCAGTCGCTTGTGCGACATGCAAAACCTTACAACTTTACCATAAACACATAATCATCAATTTTCCCAAATTTGTAACATCTAATAATTCTCTTAACAATCTGTTATCAATTGAAGAAACCCTCAATAATCAACGTAATATCTAGAACTTAAATTTTTTTAAACTAAATAATTTAAATAAAAACTGTAAGAATACTTGTAAGTAAAATATTATTTTGTATTTTGTTCTATTACTTTTTATATGTTTCTATTAATTGCTGTAACTGAAGTCTTATAATTATGATAGTAAAAAAAATATATATATATAAAAGTAAAACTCACATCATTAAACATATCATCAGCAATTTCTTCTGCCAGTTTTATATCTTCTTGTTCAGTTTTTGAACCAACCCATAAATATACAATTCCATTGGTATCTTCTTGATCAAATTTCACTTTTAATATATAACTGGAAATAACCATAACAAATTAAATTGGGAAAATAATTTTAATAAAATTGAGTTTAAAATGATTTACCAAAATGCTGAATTCAGATTTCTTGCATCTGGTTTAATCTCAATAAGACGTGAATAGAGTGCACTCCCATTTGATCTCAAATGATATAACTGAACTGGTGGTGGTTTTTCTTTTCTTTTACCGGAATGTATAACAAATTTTCTTTTAAAATGGGATAAAAATTTTATATTTTCTTGCTGTTGATGAGTGCGAATTACTTCTAATTTTTCTCCAAGCATTGCTTTAAATTGTTTTTCTAAACTATAAAAATAAGACTATTAGTAAAAATGATTAAAATATAAATTATAATAAGTTATATACCTAAAAGTAAATGTCAGCCAGCCCATATTGGAGGCATCCCGTCCTTGCCAGAAATAAACAATACATTGAAAATCTTCAGGTTGACCATCTGATACATCTTCATTACCCTCTTCGTCATCAATAGGTACCCAATAACGGCACAAGAATACATAACAATCTTTGCTGAAAAATTGTCCCAATTCATCTTCTGGTAATCTTACAAACTTCTTCCCTTCCAAAACAAAAGATTCCATTTGATCTAAATCATCATTCCAATCTTGCATCAGTTGTATCGCTTCATTAAACAACATTGGTGGCTGACGAGGAGTAAATAATGCCGCTAAATCATGCTAATAAAATGTAAATATAAAAATAAATTAATGTTATTGAATAATTCAGATACTTATAACAATTTTTACTTTGGTTTCTTGTTTCATAGCCCATTTAGTTAAATCAGCGCCAGTTTTTTGAACAGACTCAGCAGTTCGAGTGAAATCAACAGCAATAACTTCTTCCCATCCAATAAATCTTATCTTAAATATTTGAGGTTCTGTCCCTTCTTGAATTCGCATTGTTAATGCATAATCTGGACGTTCAATCATTGCGAATAATTCTTGAGATAACTTGACAGCAGCTGCTCTAACTAACCTAGTTGACTTTTTTCCAAACCTTCAATTTAACATAACATTTGAATTTATAAATTTAATTATTTAGATCAAATTTTTTCTTACCAAACATATAAATCTGTAGATGAGTCAAGAATATATACATTTTTAGAATTTAAAAGTGAATGTTCTAATGTATTGTGTAAAATTTCAACTTGAGGCAATTCTAAGTAACCCATACCTAATTTTACTTGATATAAACAAGGACGTGGAGGTTCAAAATTCTCATTCACATTATCCTAACACAAAATAATGTAAGACTTTAAACAAATAAATACAGCTTAAAATAGACACAATAGTAAATATTTTATAATAATTAATAATAAATTAATAATAAAGTTTTCTAATTTATTTTAATGAATACAATATAATCTTGATAACATGAAACTTGCTTATTTGAAGTTTGTAAAATAAAATAAATATTAAATTAACTTAGACAGAAAGACTTATCAAAATTTTTTTCTTATACAAAATTTAATGATTTGTTAATCTTCATCAATCTTAGTAAGTAAATATACCAAGATCCTACTATAGTTTTATAATTTATATGCTTATAATACATATTATATAGCTTGTAATACTTGCCTGAACATCAACAAAAGAATCAAATGTATTACTCATGTTTAACAAATCACGAAATTCTTTACTTTCTTCACCAAATTCTTCAATTAAGATTTCGGCATTATTTTTCCTCTCATTTTTATTAATTTTTTCTGCCAACAATCTTAAAATATTTGTATTAGAACTTCTGATACAGATGTTTTTTTTTTTTTAATTTGAAATGGCAATACCTCGCTTTTGATTTAAGAGTGTTTTTTGCTTTAATACCTTGCCATAAAAAAATTAATAAGCCTGCATCCAAAATAAACACAAATCCAATATCTAAAGATGTGAAACATAATTTGACTGGTTCTAAATGAACTGAAGTTCCTTGAGCATGAACTCTATACATGCGAGTAACATAAGTCTGAAATTACATACGCATACAAAATTGAATTAAACAATTTAATTATTTGTAGTGAGCAACTCACAATATCTTCAACTGTATAAAATCCACTAGCTGTACGACCTCCATCAATATAAACCAATGGTGAATCAAATAATGACAAAAATTCTTCAGATTCTTCACCTAATTCTTCACGAATAGTTCTACATTCAGCTCCCAAAAAATTTCTCAAATTAACAGCATGAATAGCAGCACATGCTCTTTTATCGAGCTAAATAATAGTTAAAAAAAACATCAATAACATTTTTAAATGAATACATTAAAATTTACTAACAGAAGCATTATCACCAATCCAGAAATAAATTTTCCAACATAAACTATCTGATGTTTCATTAACAGTGGTATGTAGTACAATATAACAATCTCCTCTGTATAATTTTCCATAAGTTACTTCATCAACTAAGTTTGGTAAAAAATTTTCAATTTCCCAAACACTAAGACCTGGAAGTGTACCAGTCCCTTCTTCAAATAATTCACCATAATCAACTGCAGGTTTTTCTAATCCTTCATCCCATCTTTTAGGTCTAAAATATATTAAATATTAATATGATTTTTTATTTCTAATTATAGAAAGTAAAATATAAACAACTGAAGTTACTTTAATGACTCTGCTTTTATACATTCGTCAAATGTTTCATTATTCTTATCATTTGCTATGTCTTGCATACCCTATAAACAATTGAATTATAACATTATATGTGTATTATTAAATACCCTGATATATATATACACTAATTACCATGTATAAATAATATATATTATTTAATGATAATTCAATATGTTCAACATATATTTCATTTACCAAGGAATACTGATAAATTGAATTTAAAAGAATAAAAATAAAAAAAGATAGATTTCAAATCAAATGGTCATAAAGGAATATGCAAATTTCTCACCCCAATAACCATCTGTTTTTAAGCAATTTTTTTTTTTAATTTATCGAAAAAAGGTGTGGTAAAATTGTATAATATGTAAAATATAATTTTGTCTCTCTAGAAAATATTTTAATTCATTGATTTTAACTAATTAAAATACACATACTCTTTAATTTAAATATTAATATAACATTGTATGGTTATTAAATTAAAAAATGTATTTGTTTGAATTTATATAAATTTAATTGAAAATAGATAATATATATTAGTTTTATTTTATAATTAATCAATTTGAAAATAACTAAGTAATTTAATTGTTAATGTATAAAAATTTATATTAGTTAAAAAAATAATACTTTTAGAATCTTAGCTTGTTTTTCTTCTTCGTGATCTCTTTTACTTCTCCGTAATCTTAATTTACGTGCAATTGGATCACGGCTGGATGCTATATAAAATAAAATTAGCAATAAAATTATAAATATGTAAAAACCCTTATGCGTAGATATACACATTAGTCAAAATAAACCTTACCTTGAGATGGTTGAATTGAATTTGGGACTACAGCTCCAGCAAGTCTTAATTGATTTTGTAAAGAAAAATCAATATTATAAAATTGCAATCCATCAGTTGCCATATTAGTAGGTTTAGGTGGCATTATTAAATCTGGATTATTACTTAAATCTAGTACTTCTATATCTTTTAATAAGTGGATTGTGTCAGGTAACGTAATTAATTTATTGGAACCCAATAAAAGTTTTTTTAGACTACCACACCTATAAAAATGAAATTACTTTTTAATGTTTACTACCTTTGTTGTTCATTTCATTTTAAAGTTTAAAACTTACCTACACAAACCTTCTGGAATCATTTCTAAAAGATTTCCACAAGCTGAAAAAACTTCCATTGCAGATAATTTACCAATTCCTGATGGTATACCATCAAAGTCAAGCTTATTATAGTTTACATATAATCGTTTAAGAGATGATAGTTTACAAAGAGAAGCCGGTAATGATGTTAATTCATTATCAGATAATTGAAGAACTTCAAGTTCCTGCCAAACTTCTAAAACAATTTAATAAACAATTACAAATAATAATTATAGATACAACTGTTAAGTATTGTAAATCTTCAATTGAAGTTAAGAAGCAATTTTTGATAGCAACAAATGTAATTGAATATGTAACACAGTTTGTAAATTAAAAAAACTTTTTTTATAAGTTTTTTTAATAAATTAAACTTATTAAGTAACTATCAAATTATTTTACTTATTATAAAAATGACTTCTTATACCTCCAGTAAAGTATAATTGTAAGTATTTTATGATAATTAAATATACCTAATGCCAATGAAAGTTCTATAATAAGATTTGATGACAGATTTAATCTTTTTAAATTAGTCAAAGTATAAAGTGCATCTGGTACTTTAGGTAGTTGATTACCACTCAAATCCAAATCAGTTAAAGATGTTAATGTTTCAAGACTCGGAGGCATATTAGTTAAATTCCGATGAGTATTACGCATATGTAATGTTGTCAAGTTTTTCATAGATGGCAATTGTCTAAAAGGAAAATTATAGACAAATATTTAATTTTATTTTTATTTTTTTTTTTTGGCTAAGAAATATATGAGTAAAATTGTAATAAATAAAACATTTATGAAATATTCACAATTTTAAATAATATGGTAAATAATTTAAAACAGTACATAATAAAATAAAACTAAAAACATCTAGAACTCTGAAATCCAAACTGTATCAATAATGAAAAATAAAAAAAAATTATAAAAAAGGTTCATAATTTATTTTTAACATTTATTATTTTATAATTTCTTCCTTAAGTTTGTATTCTTTGTGAAGATTATGAGCTCATTCTAATATTGCCTTTGCTATCTATATTTTATTGAACTTTTTTTTTTCTGTATAGCATTCTGCAATCTAGCTTCTTTGTTAATTTTTTTGTATTTTTTTTTTTTCAAATTCTTTTCTTTCTGCTGTATGTTTTTTTTCTTTTAAGTTACTTATATATTTACAGTATACAATGAGAACTATTTAAGACATTTATTTTTGTATTCATTATATAGTACCACAGATTAAGATAAAACCATTGATTATAATTACTATTATTATATTACTACTTAATATAATAATACTAGTATTTATAATCAATGATATACGTAGGGGGTCATAACTTTTTTCTAGATTATACTGAATAATAGTGTGAAAAATATGAAACTTAAAGATAGTTAAGGTATGTTGATTGAAAAGTAGTGATATATAGTGAAAAAAGTAAGTCACTAGAAAGCCTGAAAGAACACCGAATAAAAATTGTAAATATTTTCTTAATATAAAATTTCATTAAAAAAAAAAAAAAAAAAAAAAAAAAAAAAAAAAAATACTTATATTTTAAATAATATTACTCATTTAGCTTAATTTAGTTATTAAGTTAAAAATTAGGATAAAAACCATTTATGTTGAATATTTATTTATTAATCTAATAGTAAATATATTAAATAGCAGGTCCTGAAATTACATGTTTATTTGTATTAAAAATATAGTTCGAAAAGAATGTAACAAATGTAAAGATAATGTTAAGATTTAACGAGTATATAGACAAATTTTATTTTAATTTTAATTTTAATTTTATTCTATTTTTTATAGTTTCTATATGAGAACAATTTTCAATTTTATAGCAAATATAATAAATATTGTTCGGTTAAGAACATAATGTACATTATATATTAATCAATTGAAGTGTCAATCACTTTAACTCATAATCTAAAGCAGAAGTGGGCAACTGGCTTTTTTTATCTAGCCCGTGCTATATTTTAAAATTACATCATACAATTTTAAAGTTTACTGTCAATACTATAACTTATCGCTATAATAATTATTAGCTGGTAATAAACATTGTTAAATGTCTAAATGTCATATACATGTATAAGAATAGCTTTCAAGCATAACTGTTTGTACCGAACTATTTACCTATATTAGTTTCTTCGTATTATTCGTATTGTGCTGTCATTCGTGTTAAATTTATTATTTCTGAGTATATATATGCTAATTAAAGTTCTAAAATTCAACTTTTGAATGACCTTTTTTTTTTGTTTTCTATCCACTGACCGGCTAGATTTTAATTTTATAAAAATTGGTCCTTTATTAACTTTAAGTTTCCCATCCCTGATCTAGAGCATGGAATTTCAATATTTTGAATACTATACTCCATTTCATACTATTTTATAGGTCATATCCTTTTCAGTACTAAAAAATTGAAGTATAATGATTGTACTGATCATTAAATAATCAATATTTAATAAAATTTGAATGAATTTATTTTAAGAAGAAAAGAATATTATTAAACTTTTAAATTTTCAAGACAAAGTGTAAAATACAATTTTTCGAGGATAGTGAGGCATTACGGAATAACTGGTAATGAAAGAGTGGACATACTTGCTAAAGAAAATGCAAATAACCTACATCAACAACACCTCTAAATAAAGGATCAAACAAAGATTATAACATATTAATCTACAATTAAAATATTGATTTAAATATAAATACAAAATTAATGTTTAAAAATTAAAACTAAATTAAACAAAATTAAAACAGAAAAATGGATTATTCTTAAATTTCTTAAATGAATGTATGAAGTTTTATTAAATCGCTTCAAAATAGGTAACACAAACAACACACGTGCCCATCTTATGGAAAAAAACCCAACAAAAACATGTCAAATATGTGGCTATCTATCTTCAATCAAACACATTATCACAGAATTCAGAGACACACACAAGATATCGGACAAAAATTCATTATACCTGAGCACTTCCATAATGCATTGAACCCCTCCAAATATATCACCAACAATTTTTTATTTTTTTTATGAAAAAAATTAATTTGTATATTTTAGTTTAATTTATTTTAGTAATGTAATACAAGTCAATGATCCTGTAATTGAGGCTTTAATATTATTATTAAAAAAAATACTAAATTAACTTTTTTAAATATCAAATTTATGACATATATAAATTAATGAGAAGATTGACAGAGATTAGCTTTAATAAATTTTTAAATGTTTGGTAACAACTGTGATGATGCGCATAAATAAATGATAGTGTGTGTAAATAAAAGATAACATAATTACTCAATAATGCCCAATAAAATATAAATAATCTGAAAAAATGAACTCATGTTTTATGATTTTTAAAAATGTTCACAACTATTTTGGGAATATGCCTTCAGGTTATGAGTATTTGAGTAATATATTTATTTATCTATTTTATTTAGCTGACTATCTTTTGAAATGATTTTCAAACAAATTTTATACTTATTTTTAATTTTTTCAAACATCTAAAAAGTTTAGGGTAGCCTTTTTTTTGAAGTTGGATAATAATGATATTTTAGAAGAAAAATTATTAAAACAGGTTCAATTTTAAACGAATAGTTAATAGAAAATAACCAAATTTAAAAAATTACAATTTTAAAATTTTTTTAACACTTATAATGTAAATCTATTAACGAATCTACTTTTCAATATTTTACAAACATTTGTATTTATTTTTACAACTATGAAAAGAATCTATATTGAACTGCTATTATCAATTCAATTTTATAAACACAGGATTTTTGTTATAAAACTAATATGTTTTTTGTAATATCTCATTCATAATATTTGGCCTCATGAAGGTCTTGAAAAGTTTTAGATTACACATTTCTTTTTTGATAGTCCCTCAAAAAATAAAAATATGTTAGTTTGAAGTCTGAATTTACAAATAAATTATTATTTAATCTGTCTATAGCAACGGTTCTCAAACTTTTTTTTTCGCGTACCACTTGAATATAACATCAATCAGTAACGTACCACTAATGATTAAAAATAGAACCATACAAACTTTAGATAATAAAATACATTTTAAACATAAAGGCAGTAAAATATTACCATAACGTTACTATTTATTTATTAATAAAAATGTATTAGTGTTTTTAAATTAATATAAGAGTTATATATCAAATTTTTAATTTCCGTTCTACCACGGCCTTCGGCGTACCACAGTTCGAGAATCGCTGGTCTATAATATTACAAGTATAAAGTATTGGCTATCATTATAAAATTTTCAGTATTAATCTAACTATGAATTGCTCTCATTCATTGCAAATTGAATGAATTCCAATTTTTCTGTTTTAAATTATCATTTATATTCAACTTTAAAAATGGCTATCTCAGAATTTTAAAAAAGATTAAAAAAATTTGAATACATTTTTATTTTTATTAACTCATCAAAAAAGATACATAAATACCCATTATTCAAGAATATGTGAAAAAAATATCCACATGAATATTAGAACTAGATTCTGAGTTAACCTGGAATTGACTTTCCGATTAATTAACATACTGAATAGTTAATCAATTTTCACTTATACAAATAATAGAATTTCTAGTGTACAAGCAAACTTTTATTTTTTCACATTTTTTAACAATAAATTATATACCATACATAATATTTGTATAGAAGTAATAAAAGATTTTACAGAAATAAATAAATAATACAGGCATAATAACAATATATAATGAAATCTAACAATAGCAAATTATTGCAGAGTCCACTAGTATTATATAAATATTAATATAAATAAATATTTACCTTAACTGAAAGTGATCTAATGGGTTATGATTTAACATTAATGTTTGCAGATTTGTTAATCTCCTCATTTGTGGAGGAAGTGTTTGTAACTCATTATTGCTTAAATCTAATGACAACAAATCTGTCAGATGAACAAATAATTGATTAGGAATAGAACTGATCCTATAATAATAAAAGCCGGTATATTAGTATAAATAATGAGTATGATATTAGATACTAAATATTCTGATTAACAAAATTTTTATTATAAACTTTTTTTAATAGTGGTACAATACAATTTGATAATGATAAATGATGAATGAATGAATTTAATTTTCTTTAAGGCCTGTTTTAACCAAAGTTAACAGCAGATCATTATTGAATGTCTTACTAGATACTGAATATAATCAACATTTTATAAATTTTATCTACATGTATATTACTTACCTATTATGAGATAAATTCAGAACTAGTAGACTAGAAGAAGATTCTAAACCATCAGGTATTCTTGTTAATCGATTATGACTTAAATCTAATGTTGTCAATTCAGTTGAACTTTGAGAGTTGCAAAAAAGTTCTTGTGGTATACCAGAACTTTTGATGCAATTATGACGAGCAATTAATGACCTCAATGAAGATAGCTCTGTAAGTTCTCCGTATAACCTTTCAATGTTGTTATGTGCAATTGATAAATGTTCCTAAATTATAATTTTTTATTAATACACAATATATAAAAAAAATTTGACATAAAATTACAAATTAAGAATAAAAAAATATATTTATTAGGTAACCATTTAATTAAATTATTAGCTCAATTAACAAATTTAATGATTTAATAATTAATTATTCATTGATAACTACTTTTTAAACAAATAAAATAATTAAATACAAATAAATAAAAGATTAAAATAAATTTAAAACAATAATTTTTAATACATACTAATTTTCCTAGTTTTCCAATTTCTTCTGGAATCTCATGTAATTTTACTCTATTTAAGTTAAGCCATTGTACACTAGACATTGACATAACTGCAGAAGGAAATTTCGATACCTAAAAAAATAAATTGTATTTAATTAATAATACAGCATAAACATTAATTTTTATAACACACAACTTAGTTGCTTAATTTTATATATTTTCTAAAAGAGGATAATAACTGAACAATTTCATTTTATGGCCCATAACCTCTGATACAATACTATTGTACTTATGTAATAAATTTTAATTTTAAAAATTTTAAAAGTCTAAATAAAATAAGTACTATTTTTTATATATATATATTTGATAAGTTTCATCTAAATATTTAAATGAATGTTTGAATCAAATTTAATTCAGTAAATTTAATTCCTCTGCATGAGAAATATCTATCTTTCTTTCTTTCTTTCTTTGGCTTTTACGGGCCCTTTAGGTCCATTGCCACAATAATCACTATATATTCTATATATATATTCTGGCAAGGGCAGGATGAATATCACATCAACATCAAACAGCGTGATCCAATCACTGTTACGTTTAATAATCTATACTATTTAATAAATTATTTTGGTGATTTTAATTTCTTACTCTTAATTTTTTTATGTTTTTAATGTATATAGTATTTTTTGTAAGTAGGTCACTGATTACAAACAATAATTTAATATAAGATGAATAAAATGTAAATTCAGAAAATATATATTTTGGTTTGTACTTAATTTCAACTTTTAGATACTTTACCTATTACTTTTAAATTTTCTCATACATAATAACACTAATACATGGCCTACGAAAATTCATATCTAAAGCATTTATAACTATGTAATCAGTGTACAAAATGGATGGGAATGCACCAAAATTTAGTATTTGTAATATTAGCTTATGTGTACATTCCAGTATGTTATAATTAGTATTTAAAAGTTACAAATCTTAAAAAATAACGAAAAAAATAATTGTTACCTAGTAAGACATTTCTGACACTATCATAATCAAGAGGATTAAAATTAAGAAATTTAATTTTGACAAAATATATTATAACATAGAAGTTTTATTTTTATAGATATTCAAGAAGCTTACCACCAATAATATTGTAAATGAAATTAATAGAATAGTTTTAAAATAGTTATGGACAAATTGTATTTTTTATATCACCAATTGCCAAAAAATTAAATTGAGGTAACACAAGTAGCAAGTTCTTTAAAAAAACAATTTTAAAAATAGGAAGAATTTTGTCTTTGCCAGGTTGCGCCTAGTATTATAATTATAATATGCTTATAATAATTTAATAATTAAAAATGTAATAATTTAATGCGATGGATAAACAATTATGAAAATTTCTATTTAACAAAATACTTACTGCAAAATCATTATAGCTAAAATCTATACCTCGTACAAAAGGTAATACACCGGTATTAGCCATTGAATATAATTCCTATTCTAAAATCATGAAAATATATGTATATGTATAATTTAAATAAATCACTATTGGATGCAATGTGTATTGGTATTCACAAAAAGTTTCAGAAAATTGAACTTGACATAATTTATTTTGAACTACTTAAAATAATACATTATTTTCATTAAAATCAAAGGACATTTAAAAACAAAACTATGCAATTGTTGAATTGATTGATGATTAGAAAATATTAATTTATAACACATAATTTTACCGACAGTGAATATAATTCATTAATAATTGAGAAATATTTAGGAAATTACTGAATAACGTCTCCTTATCAGGGACTCACTAATCATAATATTAAAAACATAAGCCAACAATAAAATATAATTCTGTGATTTTATTTTACCTGCTATTATCATAACTATGCCTTAATTCATAAAAAGGTCGATTATAAAAAGAATATTAGGTACATCAAATGGCTACACTGATATTATTACCTTTGCAAGGTCATTTCTTCTTCGGGTTTTTTTTTTTTGTAGGATCGTAGTTAGGTAATAGACATAATATATACATATTATAGTTGAGTAAACCATTTCAGTATAGATGAGACACAAGATATGAGTCATACTAGTCCATAACTTAATGTATCATAAATCTTAACATATGGTGTGTTAACCCCGACTATTTCCTGCCACTTTTCCCTTGATTCTTCCCTCTTTTGTTGTACAAATACACATGAATCTTAGTGTATACATCACAACACAATACATACTGACTTGATCTTAAGCGTATGACTGCCATTCATGTATAGCAATTATATACCTACTATGAATTTAAATTTTAATATATGTGCATAATTGTATATCTACTTTAATAATACGGTTAGACCACGAACCAACTACGATATCCTGTATGAATTTAAATTTTCAGTGATTGTTTAAAATAACGTAATAGTCTATATATATTAAAAAAAAAAATTGTATTATTGTTATGATGAGTTACAGTTTTATGATGATTCGTCATACTATTATATTGTAATATGTAAAAAAAAAATTAAATATTAACGGCATAAAAATTCACAATTATACAAAAACATAAGTGAGTATTTTTAGTTTTGTAAAATAGCATTTTTAAAATTTGGATCTTAAGATAACTGAATGAAAAACTTTAATTTGAATATTAATTGATTCTACAAAACTTAGAATAACATTTTTTTATTAGTTTGTTCTGAGGTATCTAATTTTTGAAAACATTACTATTTTATTATTTAAAATCTAAAAAAACTATAAATACATTTTAAATTAAAAAGAAATCAACTAATCTTAATAGGAATTTTAATTTAAAAAAATTATACATGATGGTCAATAACAGTAGATAGGAGACAATTTTTTAAGTATTTTATTTAAATATAGTACTTAACATATTTTATTTTATTTCAATTTTTTTTTTTTTTAATATTGATTTACAAATTTTAACCTATGTACTTCATTATTTTATTAGATTGTTGATATTATATCAAATTAAAATATGGATTTAGTTAGTGATGGCCTTTTGTTAACTAAAAATACAGTTAATAATTTGTTTGGACAATGCGAACCTTGGCAAGTTGCTTCAATTACAGCATCAAGTGTATTATCATCTATATGGATATGGAATTTTGTATTTCAAGATGAAAGCAAGTTTATTTATTATTAAAATAAGTTTTAAATTAATTTTAAAATCATTAAAAATTATAATACATACAAATTTCTTATATTTGGCACTTCTAAAAACAATTTTCTCCAAAAAAATACTTTATTTGTATTATTAAAAAAAATATATTATTTTTACTTTTATGGTATTAATACTAATCTTTCAAATAAAAATAAAATAATATTCACATTTTAAAAAATTTTTTTTAGGATCGGAAATGATAAGGATTAACATCTAAATCCTTACTGTATCCTTAAGAGTAATATTTATATATAAACTAAGATGTTTAATAACAATTTTTGTAACATTTTGGATTCTAAATTTTTTAAAATAGAAAGAAGAATATTTAAGCTTAATAGATCTTTGTAGAATCTAGAAATAACTAAATGATAGAATAATACAAGTTTTATATGTCTTCATTACGTTCAAAAAATAAGTACAAATGTTTTTTTTTTTTATTTATTCTTTAGAAAAATGTTTCAGCACACCAGGTGCTATTACAAATATATTTACAATTTAATTTAATCTAACCTTTACATTTAAATTGATGATAGTAATAATATAATGATGTTAGTTCATGGTAATAAGTTTAAGTTTATTTTATATGTAATAATAATAGGTAGTAATAATAATAATTTTTATAATACAATATTATATAATATTAATAGTATTGGTTATTCTTCATATTCTGATGAGGTCTCTTCGTTGTCCGTTGGGGTTATGTCTGAGGGCAGTCAAGGTTTTAGCCGTCAATTTTGGGTTTTGCTTCTTAGTTGGTAGTGACGGCCGCCGTCCGATTCTTTTAACTTAGTGTGGAAGTTTTTGAGTTGGGTTTTTATCCAGGTACTTATTAAGGGTATTCCAGTGTTGTTATGGATTTGGCGATTCCTCATAAACCATGGTGCTTTTAGGAAGATCCTAAGGAATTTGTTTTGGAGTATTTGGATTTTTTTAATTTTTGTGGGTGAGGCTGCCGCCCAAACAGGGTGGGCATATGTTAATAGCGGTCTGATTATTGAGGTATATAGAAGAAGTGATGACTTGATTAGAGGGTAAAGAGTTCTCATCCTTGTATAGCCCTGTACGAGTTTTTTGTTAATATGAATCTTCCAGGTAAGTTTTTCATCTAGGTGGACACCAAAGTATTTGACTGCGTCTTCTTTTTTATTCCATTGGATGACCTGGTTGTTTATGTGGATATCTTTAGGGTTGTTATATATCTTAAGAGTGAATATTTTAACCTCACTTTTTGTTGGATTTAGATTCAGCTTCCATTTCTGGAACCAGGTAGTTATCTCATTTAGTGAAATTTGTAGGTTTTGGATTGCTAAATCTAAGAAGCTGTCTTGTGTGAGAATGGTCGTGTCATCCACAAACATTGCTAATTGAGAGTTGAGGGGAATTGGGATGTCATGGCAATAGATATTAAACAGAATAGGTCCCAAGACTGATCCTTGAGGGACTCTAGCTTTGATGTGGTGTAATTGTAAGAAGTCTGATCCTAATCTAACTTTGAAAGATCTGTTGAGTATGAAGGATGTGATGGTTTTGAATAGGTATGGGGAAGATTTAGTAGTTTTAATTTTTATTCAAGCCCGCGGTGCCAGACCTTATCGAAAATTTGTGTTAAGTCTAAAAATGCTACTGTGGTGTATTGTTTTTTTTCGTAACTGTGTACAATTATTTCAGTTATACGTTGAATTTGGTGGCATGTCGAATGTTTGGTTTTAAACCCGAATTGGTGTTTTGGGATAACATGAAGATAGGGTTTTATCCTCTCCAATAATATCCTTTCAAATGTAAAATAAGTTTACTCAATACCACTGTAGTGCTGACATATTTTCTTCTATATTTCTTTGTGGATTTTGTTTTATTATCAATTTATTGTAGTTTTTATTATTTTATAATGATTAATGATTATACATCTATCTAGTATTTGTATGCTTAGCCTTATGCAAATTAATTAATTAATAACTTTATATTTATATTGTACATTTTGTGTTACATTTTCATTTTAGGAAGTGTATCAAAATAAAAGAGATGAAATAAAATCTAGAATGGTTATACCTAAGACATTATAGGGTAAAAAAACAAAAATAATTAGGTGCTGGAAAACTATGCTATAGTAGTCCATAATTAATTAAATTGAATGAATATTTATAATTATTCAACAAAGTAACAATTAATAATACTAGCTATAATATCTAATGAGATATTATCAATCATAAAAAAAAAAAAAATAATATAAATAATACTTCAAATAATAAAAGTAATTTTATACTATAAAATATGAATCAAGTTATTGAAATAAAAAATTATTTTATAATAATAAATCTTTCAAATTAAATACTACTTTACCAACAAATATTACTACATTTTAAAGTAAAGAATGTAAATCTCAGGAAATCCTCAATGCAATTACTTTGTTTTATCAATTGTATAATGAAAGAGAAAAGTATAATATATGTATTACATTTAGTTTTTATCCATTTTATCTATATATAATTATATCTATACTTTTCTGGAATGTTTATCCTGATTTTGGATTAGCCTTGTATCACTTTTTATGTTCTTCAACAATTACTCATTTTATTTATAGGAATATGATCGATCCAGTTAACTAAAATTAGTTAAATTAGTAAAATTAAATTAAAATTATTTATTTAGTTAACTAAATGCAATATTATTTTCATGTTTTCTTATATTGAGAAAAACTACTATGAGTTTTGAAAAATAATTTTTAAAATATTTTTAGGTTATTATTTTTATTTTCATGATAACTATCCAAAAAAAATTATTATTTAGCTATTAAGCTTTAACAATTTTCCCTGCCTTGATTTATATTTGAAAAACAAATAAATATGATACATGAAATAATTTATTCATTATATTTATTTTATATTTTTAAATATTCCATAGATTTATATTTCCAATGTTTGAAAATCAAAAAATATAAAAATATATTTATAACTTAACTTTTCATTTTAGGTTTATACAACAGATTAAAAAAATTTACATTTACTCAAATTAAGAAAATACCAAAATTTAGAAAACTGGTTGAAGAAGAAACAAAAAAAATTTCTGATTTATTTGAAAATGAAGTAAAAGAAAATACTAAAAGTGAAAAATATATTGTTGAACTTCCAACCCAAGGTATTCCACGAGATGAATTGATCAAAACTGTAAATAGATATTTAGATCTTGGTAAGCATCATTTATTAATTTTTTCTAAATCATTATTAATATATATTTTGTTTTCATGATTTAGGCAAATACAATTGGAAAGAGGGTTTTATTTCTGGTGCTGTATATTATTATGATGAAGAATTGATTAAATTTCTTACTGAAGTATATGGTCTGGCTTCTTATACCAATCCTTTACATTCAGATATATTTCCTGGAATTTGTAAAATGGAAGCAGAAGTTGTACGTTTAGTTGCAAAACTATTTCATGGTGATCATAATACTTGTGGAACAGTATGTAATTTATAAAAATAGTATACAATTATTTAATTTAAAGTTTAATTTTATTTGAACTATTTTAACTTAAGATGACAAGTGGTGGAACTGAATCAATTATTATGGCATGTAAAGCATATAGAGATTTTGGAAGAAATGAATGTAATATTAAGAAGGGAGTTATAATAGTTCCACGATCAGCTCATCCTGCGTTTGATAAAGCAGCTTCATATTTTGGTGTTAGAATTGTACATATTGATTTAAATCCAGATACATATAGTGTCGATTTAAAAAAAATGGAAAATGCTATCACTAAAAATACAATATTGGTAAGCTTTAATGTTTTAGTTATTTTACCTAGATAAGTTAAATATTAAAATAAAAATATCGTCATGCAGATACAATACAAAAAAAGTATGGGTTCTTAACTTATTTTGTGACATTTGACAACCTATAATTATCCATAAGCCTGTAACTTTAATAGTATTTTTAAATCTTTTTTAGTTTTTATTTTAATATTTAAAATAAATATAATAAATATAATCCTAGAATATATGATAACTTTTTTTGTATTTTCTAGTCTTCTACATTTTCTACATTTTTAATGTTTTTATATTCTGAAAGTGGTTTTATACATTGATAAAATAATAAAATGAATGTTGAATATTTTAAATGTTAACAATATGTTTATAATTATAATATTCATTTTTTTAGTGTTATAAATAATAATAAAAGAATGAAAGAGAAATTGCGTTATTAGAAATTTCAAGTTAAGGTATATTAAAAAATGTTATAAAAAAATAAACCTCTTATTTTTTACTGATTATTATGACAGTTGACTTCATTTAAAATAAATTATTTTCTCAATCATAATATATAATACTATAGAAAAAATAACTAATTTACAAATACTAGTCCCCTTGTAGGGGTCTAATTCACTCCAGTCACCTTATCTTATATATCTGAATTAAAAATTGCCACTTATACATTATGTTGTAAATATTATATATTTTATATTTAGTTTTTAATTGAAAATTACTAATGTATTTATAATTATATAATATTCTCTAAGTTATAGTATAATTTTCAGGTAATACTTAGAGATTCTATTTATTATTCTTGTAATTTTATTTTTAAAATACTTTTTTTCATTTTCATAATTAAAGAACTTGAAATTTTTTTAGTTATTAATATAATTTTCTATATTATTATAGCTTGTTGGATCATTTCCCAATTTTCCTTATGGAACCTCAGATGATATAGAAGCAATATCAGCTTTAGGCCTTAAGTATAATATTCCAGTCCATGTTGATTGTTGTTTAGGTGGATTTATTGCAGCATTTATGCCTCAAGCTGGTTTTTTTTTACCTCAATTTGATTTTATTTTGCCTGGTGTTACAAGTATTTCTGCTGATACTCATAAGGTGATTTTTTCTTATTTTATGTAAATATTTCATGACTAAAAGTTGAGTACTAAATTGGATTTCTAATTATGATCTTAATGATTATGTTGTATAACCTATATTCATTAGTATGGATATACACCAAAAGGTTCATCAGTTATATTGTATTCTGACAAAAAATTTAGACATAATCAATATTATGTATGCACTGAATGGCCTGGTGGTCATTATGGTTCACCAACTGTAAGTGGATCAAGATCTGGTGGTAAATTTATTTATAGTTTAATTAAAAAAAACTATTAAATTGACTTTATATTTTATTTGACATTAAAACATTTTAGGTATAATTGCTGCTTGTTGGGCTACATTAATGTATTTTGGTATGAATGGTTACATTAATTCAACCAAAGCTATTATGGAAACTAAGATATTTATTGAAGAACAGTAAGTACTAAATTAATATTTATTCTTAAATCATTAAAAATATTCTGTTGTTAATTTTATTTTTTAATCATATCCACCAGTGGAATAGTTACTAGGGGGGGGGGTGTAAGGGGTTTCTACCCCCAGATTTTTTTTTTTAATGATATTTAATTATTATATATATATATATTTAATTATTTATTTATATATATTTACATTTTATAGTAAAATTATATTTTCATTTTATTATGATTAGGTATATATTAGAAGTTGAGTAACAAAATCATTTTTATTAAATACGAGATATAATAATAACACCATTTTAAATGTAATATTATATAGGACCTCATTTTAAGATGTACTAAAAATATTATGAGTTGACTCTTAAACAATCCCCTTCCCACGCAGAAAAAATTGTATCTACGCCACTTATCATATATATTTATATTTTGTAATATTGTAATAATATAATATTATGAATATAAGATTTATTTTATTACTTATTACTAGAGACGTTGCGATACTACCGATACCAATAAAATATTGATTCTTTTCTTTCGATTCAAGTTCTTTTTGTATCGATACCATGGAACATTGATAGATAAATAAAATACTAAGTGTTTATTTGAGTATTTAAGTATTAATTATTCAATATTTTTCAAAATATCGATTGAACTATTGAACAATACCGATTAGTTTTTACAATTCAATAGTTTTAAAAAACAATTAAGTCAATCGAAACAATAGAGTATTATTACATGAATGATTCAATACTTGACTTAAGGGAAATGCGGGGGTAACTTAGTACCCCAACTTAATACCCAGATATTCTAGCGTATCCTTGCTATATTTTTAAAAAAGAACCCTTGGGATGGTATTTAATTTAAATTTAGATTTTACCAAATTATATAATGTTAATATTTGTATAAAAAATAAATTATTTACAAAATGTATACCTAGGTAGGTATTAGATTTTGATACAGCGATACATAATAAATGATACGAGTAATAATACATAATACTTAATAGCGTACATAGAAAATATAATGTACATAATAATTGTCATTACATAGAAAACCTGTAGTTTATTAATTTTATTGTTATATTTATAATTTTGGACTAATTTGAAAATCTTTAGAAAAAAAGTATACATATCAATTGTGAGGGAAAAGGTTTTTTACAACCCCCAGACTTCATGATGAAAATGTTATGGTTGGATGGGTAGGTGTGTGATTGGATTTAAATGATTAGTGGATACACACTTACCAAATTTCCAAGTTAAAACATACCACCAACACGAGACATAAATGCAACGGAATACGCGGTAGTCGATAAGTAACACGGCAATAAGATCAACATTCTTTATTTTTAGTTAATTATAAAATATAAGAGAGAAAAGCCTTTTAGAATTTGCTTATCCTACGTACGAGTTGATAAAATATAAGTAAGTAGGTTCTTTAATCTTTAATTTGCAGAAAAATGGTCGTATGGGTGACTACTTCCCTCTCTCTGGTTACCTCTTTGGAGTTAATCTGATTAATCCGGGATCCCACGGCGCATGGTGCAGCTCGCGACTTGGGGTTTAGTGTAGCTCGATACACATAGGCATGCATAGAGTTTCAAGCAGCGAATATTTTTACCGGCCCATACATGAGTACCAAGTTAACATTTTTAAGCTCAAATTTGAGTTTCAAAGCCTATTTAAAGTTTAAACACAGAAAAGATTAGGTTAGTAGCATTGTACTTTTTGGCTAACCAATTTATTTTGTATTAAGCCTTACCGGTGTGGCCGCCCAACTTGAACCAATTCGGCCCTTACAAATATATTCAAATCGTCTAGTGGCAGTAAGAGCACAACTTGCTGCCCCTATGTGCACGCCTATTTCGGTACAGCAAATGTTTCTTATGATGGGTGTGACGTGGCACAGCTTGGGTAATCGGATTTTGGTACCGGAGTCAAAGGAGACGAGCCGCGCCCTTTGCTCGAGTCTTTAAAACTATTTATTGACTTACCGTAATTTAAAAAGATTTGGTAGTTTTTTTTCATATTTTTATTTTAATAATTTGTATAAAAATATGGAACAGTCAAATAGAGCTAATTAGAAGTTCCTCGAGTTCTATGAATAACATTCTTGAACATATATGGTATACTAAAAATCCACAACAAAAAGTTCAGAATGCTGTGCATGATTCATGGGATAACATAATAAAAAACTTAAATCAAAATTTAAAAAAATGCATAACACATTATAATATAATGCACCGCACACTTCACAATTTTTTCTTGATTATTCATTTTACAAAATTTAAATTAAAAAAATAATAATAAAGACATAGGATCAATTCTGATAAGAGGCAGACTCGGAGTGTTTCAGCAATGAATAGGTATCAAGTCCAGAAATGCATCGAGCAACGCGACATGATTCTTGTAGGTTAGTGTTCTCAAACTCAAATTATCTACGGGCCATATATTTTTTCAAAGAAAGTTCAGGGGCCAAATTTTAAGTGTCATCTTTTTTACTTAAACACTAAAAACTGAAAACAAAATGAAGACAAAGATACATACAAATTCCATTTATCTAAAGTATTCTAAATGACTTAATATATTATGAAATTACTTTTATTATAATTACTACTACCAACATTATTTATAAAAACATAAACAAAGTAGATGTTTATTTCACTTATTATTACTACAAAATTATCATTGAAAAAATATGATGAACATTAATTTAAAAAAAAAAATTAGAATTAAAATCTAAAAATATTTTGATAATTTGTTTACTTTTTATTTTTGAGTTGCACTTGAAATTTGACTTCTTTTCTTTTGTACCAAGCTGTCTATATTTGCACAAGAATTTCTTGATGCTAAATGTAAAACATATTGTAATTTTACGTTTGAAATTTTATTGCAACTTATCGATTTATTAAATTTCATGAGAGAAAATAATTGTTCACGTACAATAAAAGTTACCGAACCTGGATAAAATATGAGAAAAATGTTTCTTTAATTTTGGATAACTGTTTCCAAGATATTTAAAAATTTCTGAAACTCTAACGGTTTCAAATTTTGATTTTAAAACAGAATTACATTGCAATTCAATTAACTTGTGTTGTAAATCTTCCCACACATGTTCTACGTTTATAGAAAATGGTTCACTAAAAAGTAGAAAATCATTTTTATACTTTTGAAAATCGGCAAATATATTCATAAATTCATTTTTTAGTAATAAAATATATGAAATGTATTTTTTATTATCATTACTATCATTGAATAACTGTTTTAATGTAGGAAAGTGTACCAAATTATTTAATGAAAGTTGAGTTTCCCTTAATCGAAGTTTCATCGTAAATGAATGAATTTTGAGTCATACATATTTGTGACAATTTTGTTTTTTCCTTGTAATTGTAAGTTGAGAATATTTAAATGTGTAGAAATATCAACAAGGAAAGCTAAATTTTTTAATCCATTCATTATTGATTTACTCTGAAACAATCTTGTTTTTTAGTTTCATAAAACAGTCTATTTCTTTTAATAAATTATAAAATATTTGTAGAACTGCTCCACGACTTAACCATCTTACCTCACTGTAATATATCGAACAACCATACTGAGCATCCATTTCATCGAGTAGTATACTAAATTGTCTATGATTCAATGTACGGAATCTAATCTAATTCACTGTTTTAATAATTATATCCATAACATGTTCCATTTTAATTTTTTGGAATATAAAGATTCTTGGTGGATTATACAATGAAGACTTTTCAAATCTACACCATAAGCAGTGGCGTAGCCAGGATTTTTAAATGGGGGGGGGGGCTAACCACTTTTTTTGGATAAGTAAGGTAAAAGAGGATATGAGAATTCACCCTTAACCCCCCCCACCATCTACCACCAAGTTTCTAAACGCATTTTAGTAGTAGCATTTTAGTATAGTCTTAAAAATATTTATTAACATATAATTTAAATAATAATAATAATAATTTTGGTTTCAGTATTCAGTCACTTGCTCCACTCTGACAGCTGCATCCTCTTAGGCGAATTTCTGGCAAATTCAATTATTATTTCACTTTCATCGAATTGCTCTTTTTTATTTATATTAGCCATAGCTAACACATTCAGTCTGTTTTCCGATATGGTGCTTCTTATAAAAATTGTTTAAGCAATTAAGTGCAGAAAATGTTCTATTTGAAGTGGAAGAGGTAACTGGTAACGTGGCGAATAATTGTAAAAGTATTTTAATGTTAGGTCGAAGATTGGTGCGATGAGAAAGTGAATCAAGAGCAGAATTCGGTTTTGTAATAGTATTTTGACTCCATTGTTGCCTCCATATGAACAGGTCAGCCCTGATTGTAGATGAGGTATCATCATGGAGATCTTGGACATATATTCTAGCAGCTTTTATAATATTTTTATCGTCATACATATTTAAATTGGCCGGAATAAGTCCTTCAAGTAGCATAACATCAATAAGCCTTTGATTAAAACGAGCATTGATTCTATTAAATACTCAAGATACATTATACATATAAACATGGTCCATGGGGGAGGCTATAGCCCCCTTAGTCCCCCCCCCCTTAGCTACGCCACTGACCATAAGTCATAGCTTTTGCTTTTAATCGAGAAACTAATCCTGCTTTTACACCTAACATTGGGGAGCTCCATCAGTAGTAATACTCGAAAAATTATTTCAATCTACTTCTCATTCATTAAGACACTTTTCAATACAATCATATAAATCATTACCGGTTGTATCAGACATAGGAATCGTAGACATAGGACTTGATTCCTAAGTCCAAAAGTTCTTCAGTTACTTCAAAATTATCGAAAACTCCACGAATAAAAATAGCTAACTGGGCGGTATTGGTAATATCGGTACTTTCGCCAACAGCAATAGAAAAACTTAAAGATCGTTTATTTTTTTCATGCAATTGTTGTTTAACATTATTATCTATTTCTTCAGTTCTCTGAGCAATAGTGTTTCCACTTAAACTTATATTCATAAATACTTGTTTAT